TGCTATCGATTCACCTCTATTTCTATCGCCAAAGGATTCCCTGGCATATTGCCTAATGCGACAAGCCAGTGGAGCGAGTTTAATTAATAATGGTGAGGACTCTTTAAAAAAAAATATATAGGTATATAAAATGCATAAGAGTTTATTCTTTTCCTTTGAATCTGATTTTTAACTTTCTTTTTTTAATTTTTACTTTTCCAACCTTGCCTTCGACAAGAGTAAGCCTGTCGCACCAAAAACCCTGGTGGTCTGGGAACCCACCTGTAACTATATCCTCAAGTGAAAGAATTCTTGACACGGCATTTGCACCTATGACGCGCATGAAACTCTCAGTCTTGTGATATATACGATAAGCTTACAATTCAGGCATAAAACAATCCCAAGGTTCATAAATAAAATATGCTCGCAACAAAATATGTTAGGACAATTGCTCGAAACCTATATAAAGAAGAACTTTTCTATGCACGCGCTGCGACATATTAGCCGTATCAACGCGAAACGACAGAACGCTTATAGACGGATGTCACTCGTCTTCCTTATTTCTCGAATAATTACTAACGGCTCCCAGCAAAGACACTGGCTATATCACTGCTTCGGATAACTAAGGGCGAAATGGCATAGCGATCGTCATGTCTGAAAAATATCATGTCTGAAAAAAACTCGGTCCGCTCTGATTGAGTAGAAGCCATTAAATGACCATACGGGCGATCAACCGGAAGGGACTGGAATGCTCGCGTAAATCACAATGCCTTCATGATGAATCGATAATTGGCAATGTGACATCGGTGCGCCAATGTCTTCTTCGCCTGCAGAAATTTTTTGTTATCAATATTCGATTTTGGCATCATAGAAAACAGCTACTCACATGGGTCTCCCCAGATAACCAAACTTCAGCCAGACAATCTCTGTTGAAAGAATTCTGTACTAGATGATTATTCTAGCACGACACTGAAACGATCATGTCAATCTTCATGGATCTAACCATATTATGGTTTGGGCCAAGATCCTCATAAAATTGACAACTGGCAATAAGCATTCCTCAAGATATTTCAACTATCTCAACTAAAAAATTCAGGGACAGCGAGAGCATTTCAAACCGAATATTGAAAGATCTCAATCTTTAAATATCATATATATAAATTACTTCTCTGAAACGGCAAATACTGGTCCAAATAAAGGAATATCTCCGAAAGTCAGCTGCTCTACGCTAGGGCATACTAGTAGCAAATGTGCTAGTTGGGTATCAGAAGCAAGTATCCAATTGTCTGAAAATGTTGCCAAAGCATGAATGTCATCAGATCCTGACTACTAGGTGCTTCCAAAAATGGCAACGATAGTAGTACTGTGGGATAGAAATCACTATTGAAATGATATGGCCTTAAGACAGCGGTTCGACTAGGCGATACCAAGAAACTATTCCGCCTTCTTCATAACTCGAGGAGCGATCAGTAAAATGGTTAGGGATGGCAATGATGTACCTGTAAGATAAATTTTTTGAGGCTTATCCATTATATGCCATCTGTTGGATATAGCTGATACGTTTGTGGAACCATATGCTCGCAATTGTCAACAAAGCCAATAAGATCTGGGAAAAGATGATCTCTGGGCTGAACCCTTCAAATATTGTCCATCGTCTTCCTTCATAAATGCACATTCAACAAATGTACTTTCTGGAATGGAAGCAAGAAATATTAGGCCCAGACGGTTGAGCAAAGCAATTCTGCTTCCAATCCTCAAGAAATTTGGCAGGATATACTGCAACAATTATCGAGGAACCAGCCTGCTAACGTCTCAGCGAAAATTTTTGCTTTCTTTATACTCAATGGACTTATGGCAGTACAGGACAGCAGGATCTGCCTTAATCAAGCTGAACTGAGGCAGCAGCGTGATTGTGCTGACGAGATATTCACGTTAAGAAGGGTGGTGAAAATATTACTTCAGATATTTATAACCTGCCACGTATTTTATTAACTTTGCAGCTGCCTTTGATTCATTTGATAGAACGGCGCTGTGGAGGGTGGTGGGCCGCGATGGTGTTCCAGAAAAGATCATTCGAGTCATAAAGGCACTCTATTAGCATATAGCGGCTCAGGCTTGTGTATATGATAGACTGACAGACCCCTTCGAAAATAAAAACTGGGATCCGTCAAGGTTGTGTTCTTTCCCTCATATTATTCTACTATGTGATAGACTGGATAATGGACATCGCTTGCCAGCATTCAAGAGGTGTAGAAACCAATCTAAAGCATCCTATCACAGATTTCGAATGCTTGATGGTGCAGTCCTTTTTGCTGATAGTTATGAAGAAATGAAATAATACTAACCAACGTGTCGACAACTCCAGCGAGAATCGGTCTTAGGGTGAATACAAATAAAATGAAAGCCTTTTCGTCTTTTAAACAAGATGTTGATAAAATACCTCTTTTTATAAGCTCATCGCCAGTTTAAGAAGTGCCCGATTTACCTTGGATCCACCCTAATGCCAAATGGGTGGGCAAAAGACGAAATTACAGCCTGGATAACAGCTATAACTAATTATCGAAACCTTTAAGGAGCTGTGGCGAAATTACCATAAAAACGAAAGTGCGTCGATATAGCTGCTATCCGCTCGGTTATGCTTTATGGCCATGAAACATGGCCAATGAGAGTGGAAGATATTAAGAAACTATTAGCCTTTGATCACTCATGTCTAAGGTACATTTTAAAGGCATAGCGGATAAAATATCACATGATCGCATCCACCTTCGTTCAAATGCCACTTGCATTGATAATGTTACCACAGAGCATCGCCTTCGCTGGTTAGAGCACATTTTTCATCGCGCATCCAAAAAGTGTATTTCGTATTTATTTCGTATTTCGTTGATAACCACGTGCTAGGTGGCGTCAAAAGTAAGGAGGGTCAAAGAAGATCTGAACTAATCCAGTCAGGAAAAATTTTAAATATATAGATGGAATAGGTGAAGTCAGACGATGGAAAGAGAAAGGGTTTCTATAACTTTCGACGATGGCATCACACCACGCAGCCAATGTCTTACCTTTGTAGCCAGTGGATACAACTTAACCAGTAATGGTGAGAACTTTAGAAGAAGAAAGAAGAATAACAATAATATGATCAAAATAAAAGATAGAAAAAATTGCGCAAATAATTTTATTTAAGCCACAAATTAAATTTTTCGAAATTCGAAGCAAAGTAGAAAGGCAAAAATCAAATCAAAAGAAAAAATTGAAAAGAAAAAAAAATAAAAATAAAGCGAAAAATAATAAAATGTAATAAATTAAATAATAAAATAAAATGAAAGTAAAAATAAAGATACAATGACAATGATCATAATAAAAACAATAAAAATAATAATAACAATAATAATGATAATAATAGTAATAATAATAATATAATAATATTATAAACTAAAAGACTAAAAAATATGTAAAAAATACTAAATAAAATATATTGTATAAAAAAGTATTACAATATATTTTAAAGTATTACTTACAATAGTGAAAATTTTTTATTAAAAACTATTGTGAAATTTAAAAATATCTAATATTAAAAACAATATATTTAATATAATAATTAAAAACACAATATAATAATAATAGCAATATAATAATAATAACATAATAATAGTAATTTTAATCAAAAATTCAAAATCAAAAATTTTTAAATAATGAACGAAAACAAAAAAAAGTATGTTTGAACTAAGCAAAACTAAGCAAAACTTGATTGGTAATTTGCAATGCAAATTATGTAGAATTTCAGCATCAACTCAACAATTTAAATGAAATTAAATTTATTTTTTATTAAAAGCATCGTCTTAATATTCAGATTATAAACTAAAAGATTAAAAGTATTAAAAGATTAAAAAATCATGTAAAAATACCAATATATTGCATAAAAAAGTATTATTTACAATATCGAAAATTTTTTATTAAAAAATTATGAAATTTAAAAATATCTAATATTAAAAAAATATCAAGAAACGAAGTGAATAAAAATTCAGTAAAAAATAATTGGAGGTACTAATCTTCGTTCTAAATTTCTCTTAATAGGCTTCGAACGTCAATTTTTTCTCGGTTCGACAGTCCATTCTATTCTTGAACCTTGGAATCATCGATTTTTAGCTCCTTGAGCAAAGGAATGCAGAAGAATTCAAAGGAGCCTAATACTCCACAATTCTTAATATGTATGGTACTTCAAAATTCAGTCTTTGTGTAATTGCCCATGAAAATGCCAATTTCGAGCATCACAATACAATGATGGTCAAGCAATTTTCTAAAGTGCTAGATTTTAATTTTAATCATTTAAAAACAAGATGGAAGCCTCCCTAAGTCCAGTGATCAAGAAGTCGAATATACGAGTTAAAAGTCTATATAGACTTTATACCGCTTTAATTTCAAATCCACTATTAATAGCAACTCAAAATTGAAACTCTATAATCGAGACTTATCGTAAAAACTAAAATAAGATTTCATATTTACCTTCTTTATGGCTACATTGAAATGGATATACAATTTAATGTTGTAATTTTAGCTTAAAAATCCGAGAAACAATGATTAATTGAAGCTTATGTGCAGAAATACTGACACGATTAAGTACTTATAACTCACATTTCTGGTTAAGCTAACTTGGCATGTCGAATCAGAAAAATAAAATGCCAGAGCTATTCGGGGATTTGGAGTAAACGCCTTAATGAAGCAGTTGGTTCCACCGCCTCCACCTAATTTTATGAAAAAATAAATAATATATTGCAAAGCCATTAAAATTTTCTATTGAATAAGCCAAAAGAATAAAAAGTAAGGATATAAAATTTCATTTAAAAAAATGAATTTATTAATTAATGTTATTCATATTACAGCTAGTAATGCTAGTAATATCATTTTCATGAAAAATTTTATTAAAAATTTTTAACAATGAATATAAAATCATATGAAGAAAAATAACATAACTAAAATTAGAAATGAAAATTTCAAAAAAAATTTATAAATTATACATTAACCGAATTTTAATAATCGGATATCCATAAGCGAACTAAACGATCCTTTTCAAATCCGCCCGAAGCGATTATATTTTTTGTAGGATGGCAATCGACGCACAATACTTTATCTGAAAACATTATGAAAATAATACATCAATTTCAATAACCTAATGAAAATTATTTTTTTTATTGTTTATTCTATAATCAATTAAATAAAAAATCATATTTCTTAATTATATTATATTATATTTGATCTAATTTTTGTTCTTATCAATCACAGTCATAAAATTACTTTAATAAAATAATCATAAAATTATTTTAAATACTTTCAACTTATTAAAATATTGCAATTCTAAATCGCATGGTTTTATGGTTTTTTTTTTTAAGAAACACATTTCTGGTTAGGCTCACTCCGCTGGCTTATCGGATCAGAGAAATTTTTCCAGAGCGCTATTTGGAGATAGAAGTAAATATAGAAGAACCTAATACTAACAACTGTAGTTATTTTATGCTTAGTATGTTTAAATAATAAAAAAATTTTTTAAAAGAAAAATACCATTATTTCCTGTTAATGTCTGTACAACTTCTTTGGATTGTAGGTTCCAAATATATATCGAATCATCTTCAGAGCCACTAACTATCCACTAAAAATAATTAATATATTCAACTTCAACTGCGAATGAAATTAATTTTATTGATTGATAGGATAATCTAGCATTCCTTTTTAACCAACCGGTATTTTATAAAATTGCGGTCGAGCAACACTTGGCTATTTATGCTTTTCAAAAATTAGCCCTTTCGGAGAAAATCCAGAAATATTCAAAACAAGTGGATAGATGAAAGAGGAAATATTATAATTTTTAAGCCGATTTCTGATAATCTCAAAATTCAATTAATTCAAAATATTAATCAAAATATATATATCGTTTGCTTATGAAATATCGAATAAAAAAATAAAAAATTATTTTCAAAAGGGAATTGACCAAGAAATGATGTCGAACAATGGAATTCATAAGCAAAGGAAATGGAAAACAAATATTAATAATATAATAAGAAATGAAATTTATTATTCCCAAAAAATTATTGATACAAATACCCTAAATTCTCTAGTAAATTATTTATATTATCTAAAAGCAATTTTAAAAAAATTGCTTTCAAAAAAAATAATTGGTAGTTCTTATTTTCTAAAAAAGTGCTTGCATTATCTGATAAATTATATCTGAATTCTTCTTTTTTTTCTAATTATTCGCCGTTATTAATTAGGCTGGCTCGGCTGGCTATAATGGTAAGACATCTTCAAGCTGTTTGATTCGACACCACTGTCGACAGTAAAAGAAGCCATTCCTTTTTCCATCGCTTAAGTCCATATATTGCTGGTCCATATACCTATTCAAGATCTTTCTTGACTATATTAGACTAAATTAATGAATTTATAGCCTATATAGTCTGATTGACTCCACAGTAGCCAGTCTTCATATCATATCCAGTCTGGAATAGTAATTTGTGTACCTCCTTGAATTCTCAAAAAAAGTTCCGTAATATGTGAGGTATCGTTCCATCTCATCATATTGTCGTCGAAATCTGTCCGTCTCTAGTTCATTCGTAGAAATAATATCAAATATTGCCACTTTTCACACTTCATACTTCAACCGAGTGAAATTAACAATTTTTGCGTGAGATAGAAATTTTAGACTTTTTTGTAACGGTTTGCAACGTTTTTCTGCTTCTCACACAGCTGAATCCATTTTAAATGCTTTTCAACCTCTTTCTTCTGTAGAAATGTGCATATTAATTTTCTGAACGATCATATAATTTTAAAAGACTAAATATTTATAATTTTTTTCCTTTTCCTTTTTGCAACATTTGGCGTTATTGATCATCCTTACTGCATTGGCTAAAATGAAACAGCTACAAGAATATAAAAACGAGAAACCAGAGAGTCACTTTAGGACAAAAATTAAGTGGATGATGATGGTTATTTGAAATCATTCTACTGGCCATTACTACAATTAGAAAATTTTACCAGGAAAACACATGCTGGCACCATTTGGGTTTTTAAAGACAGATTTGATCTTGCAAAAGCCGAACTCTCCTATCAACACCATAACTAACATGACATCTGTTCTATTCTATCTGTTCTACTGGACTGTTAAACCTTTGAATCAATTTTGTACAGGAACATAATCAGGAAGTTTGAAATGATGGTAGGACAAAATTAAGAGTATGAAAATGTTTAAATTGAAAGAACTAATAAAAAAGTATATAAAATTATTTGTGTTGAAGATAACTGTTCCAAAACAACAAACTTTATGCTGGAGAAAAGAAGAAATATAAAATATCAACGAATATTCCGAAAAGACAAAGAATCATTTTAAAAATCTATTGATTGCTTGATTAAACATGGAAAAAAAAATAAAATTGAGAAAGACAGTGCAAAAGGATACAAGAGATTTTATAACCTTAACCTTATAGCCACATTAACGAATAATCTGAGTAAATTAATATAATAACCACTTGATGATAGCCAATTAGTAAAATACGTACCTTTCCACCAGTGACCGAAAAATTAGCGAAAATACATGATTCAACATTCTTATGCCCAGTATATGTTTTAAGACATTTGCTTTTGTTATAATCCCATAATTTCAAAGTACTAAAAATAAAAATGAAAAAATTTCGTTATAATGAAATAAAAAATAATAAAGATGAAATTTGAGATGAAGAGCTGAGTCGGAAGATAAGCTTTTTCCTGATATTCAATTTTAGCTTTCAATTTACCAGCAGCCAAGCTGCAACTAAAAAATTACAGGCATTGTTAGGAATAATTAAAATCGGAGAAATTAGTTAGTGATAAAAATGAAGAGTTTGCCAATATAATAAAACTGCAAATAAGAAATTAATAGTACAATAACTAATTTATTGTAAAATAATAAAATAAATAAATGACCTGTCGAAAGTGGCAGTCAATATATATTTACCATTTGGAGAAAATCGAACGAAAGAAACAGCCACGTTATCATCGTCTAAAATATGGGAAATATCGATAGTTCATAAAACATCTTTTCGGTTGATTAATTTATTTCGACATACTAGGAGAACGATGTTAATATCTATAAAATTTTCCAAAGAAAATCAAACATTTAGATAATGAAAATAAAAATAATCAATTTTTATTAGCAAAATTACTTACTAAAAATTACTTACTTACCTACCAAAATTACTTAAAATATTTTCACTTACCAACTAATGTTTTCACACAATGACCATTGGATGACTCCCATATACAAACTTTCCCATCATAACTGCTTGTACAAATTAATGTTCCATCCCTGAAAATATTAAAAATTTAAAAAAAATAGAACGATTTTTGATCAATGGTAAAATAAAGCAATTACATAATATGAACTGAAATAGTCCAATAAAATTGTAATAAATCATTATTAAGCAATTTTATGATTTTATTAAAACGAATTTAGACAAGATTTAATTGTCAAGACTGGTTCCCACAGGGTACTGAAGAATTGTCTATGATTCTATTCCTAAATGTCTCCCTGAACAATATATAATAAGTCCATCTTTTACCAACTTCCATAAAACAACCAGGCTTAAAACTATGACCAAAAATAATTATGAAAAAATAAAAGTAGTAGTAATTTTCAGAGAAAAATTTCAGAAGCCATCTGACCAAGCAAAAAATAGATTACCTGTTATACGATACGGCTGTGACAGGATCATGATGACCAACAAGCATTTTAATAAGTGTTCCTGTAGCCACGTCCCATACGCCAACATTTTTATCAAATGAACCAGAGACGATATGAGTAGACTGTGGATTAAAATTACAGCAAAAAACGTAACTTTTATGCCCTTCCAATGTATCAGTACATTTACCCTGGAAATTTTAAGCAATAATCAAAATTATATAGATCCTTAAAGTATATAGGTTCATATTGGACAGATTTAAGTTCAGATATGCGTCGGATTCGCACTCTTGGAAACATCAACAGATATAACAGTTAGCAGAGCTAAATAAACCAGAAATTATAATATAAATTGAAGGCAAAACAATAAGACTTAAAGAAAAATATTTTTTTGTCCACAAGATTTACAAAAATTTAAAGATTTGTCCACAAAATTCTTTGACTTCGATCGAGTTGAAATTAAATTAAAACGTACACTAGAGGAATCCCAAACTTTCAAAGTTGTATCATCAGATGATGAAGCAATCAAACGACTATCGGCTGACCAACATAAATCATTTAAACCGAGTTCATGACCTGATATTGTTCTCTCCAAATAACCACTATCTGTATTCCATATGTTTATTGTCTTGTCAGCACTAGCGCTCCCCAAAAATCTACCATCAGTGCTGAATTTCACTGACGAAACCGCCATTTTATGTCCATACATTAAGTTTTTTAACTTATAATTCGGAAACTGAAAAAAAAAATTTGATAATGATGTCATTAAAATCATATCCAAACGAAATTTTAGGAATATTATCAATATTAAAAGTTTTTTTAACAAAGTTTGCAGTTCTTTTAAATAAATTAAAAATCGAGAAAAAATTTTTAAACCTTTACAGTAACCTTCATAATTAAAAATATTTAAAAAATGAATAATTTTTAAACCACTAATACTTTGAAAAAAATAAATCAATAAATAAAATAATATAATTTCTTCAAAAGAAAATTTACTTGTTTATAGAATAATTTTCAAAGAAACTGGCTAAAACAAATTATTTAAAGATTTCGGAAATTTCGAAAAAATTATTTAAAAAGGGAGAAAATATGCTTTAAAAGTCATATAAATTCAGAAACAAAAGAATATTTATACTTACACTTTTATCACCTATCTTTGGCAAAGTTCATCTGACCTGATAAGCCAGAATAGCGGGCCTAATCAGAAATGGTAAGCATCCTTAGAAAAAAATTGCAGTTAAAAATAATAAAAATAATAAAGAAGAAAAAGAAACTATAGGACAAGCATGATTTGACAAATTGTTTTGCATAATTCCTTCGCTTAAACCATTCTGATGATTTGCCATTTCATTTCGATTCATTGATGTTATTAAGAAAGAAGTTTTAACTCTGTGTTGTTCTTCTCCTTTTCTTTACCCTGAAATTAAGCAAAATTCCAAAATTCGGGTGATGCTGGTGACTCACTTGTACTTCTCTCGCCACTATGACAGTTTGCCCGAAGAAAGCCAGCGGAACGAATCTGCTCAACGAGTGGTTCGTGGAAGGAAATTTATAAAATCATGAAGAATAAATTAGCTCAACTTATTTGAATAAATGAAAACCGGAAAACAATCAAATCAAATAAAACGAATCAGTAAGCCTGGTAGGAAGCAACTTTCATTGTGTCAAACATATTTATTTATTGTTTTATACCCCTTTTAAAATAATTTTTAAATTTTCTATTAATCATTATTCATTGCTAATCATCTTTATTAGTGAAACAGATTGGATTACCTTCGATGTGAGCTTCCGCTTGCAACACTGAAACACCTGATTACCGTCTTTGTGTCTATCCTTGGCAAATCTTATTTAGCCTGATAAGCCAGAACAAATCCTTGGCCAGGGCTTAATCAGAAGTGCAGGTGTCCTTAGAAAGAAATCAAATATATTTAAAATGATGAAACAACAGATCTAACTTCGACCGCGCGAACCCGTATAATGCGACTTTTTATTTATTCCAAACGGTTATTATTTAAATTACCAAGTCTGAAAAGAGCTGCTTCTGTGCAGCCGAGTTAGAATCCTCACTAATGATCAGCCGCTTTTGAGAATAAAATGCTATCTTGCAGAGGAAGACTGGTAGTTTTTTAACTGATGAATGATTCCTAAAGTGCGGTCCATGCTGTGGTCACTTGAGTGGGAGGAAGTCTAAATTCTTTTTCTCGTGTCGACTCGTCTCTTACGTGTCCCTTAACTTGTCGCATGCCTGGGACCAGAGTTCGTTTTGTTAGTTCTTCGATTATGGTTGCCATTATCGGAGAAATCCGTAGAGTTCAAGGAGATTTCCACGGCTTTCATCAGACTGCCGTAGGCGTCCATGGGAGAAAATAATTTAATAGCTTTGTTAGGATCATGTAGAAAGCACTGTTCATCGAACAATGTACGATATGCGTTATATTACGTTGGACTGGAAATAGGCAAAACAAATGATGATTCTGGTGACAAAAAAGTCACCTTTTCTCCAAGTTTTAGAAAGATATTCTGCAGTGAAGTCATTTGATGGACCATATTTTATTATTTTCCTAGCACTTGCACGTTTTTTATTTTTTCTAAGAGCTCTGTTATTTCTGGTTGGGCTCGCTTCTCTTTCTTATCGGACCAGGCAAATTTCGTTAGGGGAGTCACCTGGAAATGCACCCAGCATCATCCAGCTTTCTAAGAGAATTGGTTTATTCCTGGGGGCCATAGTGCAGAATTCTAATATCGGCGTAGCGATTGGTAGTAAAACTATTCACTGAGCTATTCTGTAGCGCTTCCTTTTATAGCTCTTACTCATTTTTAAAATTTAATCGCAGGTAATTTTCTAATGAACGATTTTGCAATCTGTTCTCTTATTTAAGTTAAATTTCTGGGTTATTCATTTTTTCTTTTCAGAGAATGTTGAAAGAAAGAAAAAGAGTGAAAATTAACGAGGAAATTGATAATTTAATGATAAACGAAGAAAGAAAAGATTATGGCTCTGCAATGGAATATGCAAATGAAGTTCGGAAATGGGTATATGCAACACAATGCTGGTATTATTACCATCAGTGTGCATGGTTTAATGCATATTTTCATGTATTAAATATTAAACAACAACAACAGCAACAACAACAGCAACAACAACAACAACAGCAAGAACGGCAACACACGGCGAATTTCACGGAACGTCGTCGAATTGCTTCATTTCCACGTCGAATTATAGCCGAAATTATTGATGCTTTTTTTGCATTTCTTTTTCAACTTATTATTGTTTATTTCCTTGTCGAATTCGATTACATGTTAGTTTCATTTTCATACGTTTTCAATTTTATTTACTAAGTTGCAGCACAGGTAAAATTTTTCTTTATAAGATTTTTTTTGGTCTTATAAATTTTGCCGAATGCTAAGGATATTTTTTGGGCAATTCCAAGCCTATTTTTGGCATTCACATTTCTTGAAAATATAAATCCCTACTTTATTTCGAATTTTATTTATGTCATTTTCAAAGAAATAATGGAAAAATGTTAAAAGTAAACTAGAAGAAGGTATCAGAGTTTAACATGCACTTGACAGGGTTCTTTTAACATTCTTCCATTCCTCTTCTAACAGCTCGCTCTGCTGCTTATTGCATGAGATCCTCATAGCGAGTATAATATTTTCCACATATTTTCATAAAAAATGTTTCTTTTTTAAACTATGTATATATCAAATTTTAAATTTTAAATTTCTTAGATTACTTTATTCATTGCTTTCTTAATTTTTGCTTTTTGTTCCCTTTTTTTTCTTTTCCTTTTTTTCCTTTCCTTTTTTTTTCAGAGATATTGAAAAGTATAACAAATTGTTGGGTGATCAAGCAGATTTAAGAAATTTGATCAATATTACTCAAGAATTGTTTCCTTTCGAAGTTTTTGGAAAGTTTATAATTAGTATTATTGAGGTAATTTAGTTTCTACAAATCAGTATTCCTTATAAAAATTTATTCTAAAATTTAGAAAAAAATTACTTAAAAATGTTTTTAAAGTCAATTTTCTTATTTTTCATTTTTTCATGTATTTTTATTTTTTATTTTTTTTCATTTATTTTCATTCATTTTTTCTTTTCTATTTCTTTGATAGCATTTCTTAGATTGAAACATAAAAAAATATGGATAATTCGGGTTATTTTAAATATTTTTTTAATTTTTCTATCTACTAAAAATAGTCTTCATTATTAATGTACAAAGTAGTCTTTATTATTTAATATGTTTCTATTGCAGTTCCTTCATTAAAAATTATTTAGGCATTTTTCTTATCATATGGATGTGGAATAATACAAGCTGGTTCAACTCCTGGTAAAACCTTTATGCGTATACAAGTTATTAGTTGTTATGGAATTTCGCCAGTTCCTGGAAGTGATGAATACGATATTATTCGAGCTCAAAGATTGTCACTTACCAGGTAATTTTTGTCTTAAAAAGATTAATTTTATTTTCGATTAATATTGCAGGAAATCAATAGTAGTAATTTTGAATTTATTTTCAGAAAAACAAGTTATTTACCCGTTTTCATTTATTTTTTTAAAGCAATCAATACAGTGAAAACTCGAGAAAATTCTCTTGGTTTTTGATACGTTTTAGATAGATTTGATAGATTTTTGTGGACTAATTTATATATTTTAAATTGTTTGAAACATCACTCCTGGACTGTTATTCTTAAAAGAATAACTTTCATAGAATCTTACGGGTCATTATTCTTACCGCATCATTTTTATTCATTTCTATTCTTAATCCTTTATTTTTTTAATCATTTTTATACCTATTTTAGCGCATTTTGTCGATCGATTATCAAGAATATGATTATCAATTTATTATTTCCGTTAAGTGCAATCGCTTATGCATTTAGTTACAATAGAGCAGTTTATGATTTATTCGCAAATACTGTCGTTGTATACATGTAAAAATTTTTTATTATTTTATAAATGCTATGCAATAATTATTTTATAGAAAAAAATGGATTTTCAACTATAGCATTTACATTAATAATTTGATAATCTGAATGGTTCATTCAATATTGTCAATTTTGATTTGGGTTTTGAATATGTTTGTTTCCAGTAATTTTAGGATTAAACAAAAATTCCGTATTGAATTTAAAATTGTTTTCTTCTTTAAGTAAGAAATATTTTTAAATTGAATCGGAAAACAAATGAAATATAAATATTAAAAACCGTATAATTTTAACAAATTTTTTTTTAAAAAAAATATCAGTAAAAACATTGGAGAAAATTAAATTAATGAGCTGGTGGTGAAGGTGGAATTTGTGATAAGCGCTGTTTTTGTTGATATGTTTCACGAGCAATTTGCCTTTGAAGGCGACTGAGACGATCATGAATATCCTTAAGAGAAGATTCTGCTGAATTTATTCTTGCCATTGAATTTTCCAATTTACGTACAAATAAATCGAGATCATACGGTGCACATTCATCGTAGCCAATTTCCTTTAAACCTATAAAAATTTTATCATTTCAATTTTAATTTTTCACATAAAATACCAATCCAATCAGTGCTTATTGGTTACACAAAGTGCTTATTGGTTACCGAATGATGACAAAAGGCTCTATAATTACATCTTTGAAAAAATTCCATGGTCTTTTCTTCAATTAGAAATAAAAACTAACGTTGTGATAAGTTATCAATGCACTGATTAAGATTGTATTGACTAGAACGAGTCAAACGTATTTGATCGTGAAGATGTTCGATAACCGGTCGTATTATATCAAAAAGAGAATCGTTCATATCATCCCTATCGCAAACTTCTCTACAAAGTGATTCATCGAACGACATTACTGCTTCCTACCGACTGAGGATTTCCGTTCTTTATGTTTTTCCTGAAGATGAAAGAAAAGGATATATTTTGAATAACTTCTAGAGGAGATGAAAGTAAGAAATAAGATTGATGGATGAGTCGCAATTTATTTTGTCCGCAATTTATTTATTTATTTATTATTTATTTTGATGCATTTTATCGAAATGCACTCCATTTCCCTTAATAGAGAGTAGAAAGATATGAATAAAAAGAAATACGGGAAGTGGGTTCATTGGGACCTAAACGTGAGCAAAAAGACACCACTCTAATAATATTACCAGTATGCCTGGCACTGGTTTGTGTATATGGAGAATTAACAGACTCCTTCGAAATAATAACTGGTGTCGGTCAAGGTTGTGCTCCTTCTCCTATAATATTAACTATGCGATAGACTGGATAATAGGCTTCGCTTGTCGGCACTCAAGAGGTGTTAAAATCAGTCCAGAGAATAGCATCACAGACCTCGAATACGCTGATAATGTAGTTCTTTTTGTTGGACGATTTCTAGCACTAGTAGCAATGCCGAACAGCTTGGAGACGTCCCTTGTAGCCTAACCAGTAATAGTGAAAGCTGTTAGAAAAAATATGCCGAAACTAGATTTAGCAATCCACAATCCACCTAAATTACACTCTTAGAATATAAAAATTTCCCACCTAATCACTTCTCACATTTAAACACCCTTATTAATTTCCTCCAACAACTGCAAATGAAATTTCGCAACTTCTACGAAGGAACAAGTGCTGACAACGTACTGAACTGAAGATTAGATATACTATTCCGCAGTTCATCTATATATGGGTAATTGATGTGATCTTATCGAATATGTCAGAATGAGGACCGAATAAATATTCGAGGGCCGGGCAGTTGTGCTAAGAAGGAGAGAAGGTAGAAAAATCTTGAAAAAGCTTGGAAGGGAGTCAGAAAGTTTGTTTCAAATTTTATTAGATCATAAAATGATTTATTAATTAATTTTAGTTTTTTTTGAAAGAAATTAATCTAATTTCTCATCATCTTTTTTTCTAAATTTGTAATTACTTTTGTCAGTGAAATTAGAAAATCTTTTCCTCTCACCGCCTGTGGGTGGTCACGATCATCTCCAACCTCGCGTCCTCTACCTGAAGCCTGGGAAGTTGAGCATTCTGCGAAGCAGTTCCTAGTAGTGTGCTCTTCTGGATAGAGATCTCCGATCTTCTTCCTGGGATCTGCCGAAGCCACTTTTCTAGTTTAGGGGTCACAGTCGGTCACAGTTCCAAGTGCTCCAGTTATCACTGAAATTGCTTTGGCCTTTATTTTATACATCATTCCTGGTTCTTACTTAAGCCCTTGGTATTTCTCTAACTTTTCATATTCTGGTGTTCGTGTTGCTTGGTATTTCAATCACCAGTGATCATTTCTTGTCTATTATCATGGTATCTGGTTGATTGGCCAGTACTCGTTTGTCTGATGGGGAAATCCCATAAGACCCTCGCCTTATTATTCTGATGCAAGGTAGACACGAAGGCTATTGATGTGAAGGTCGAAGCTCTTTAAATCGATGCACATAGATTTCCACGCTTAGTGTAACACATGAATGATTCACACACCAGCCAGAAAAGAATGCAACTGCAGCTTTGCGAATTGTCAAAGCCATTATCTTGAACATGAAGCGTTCAGAAAATATATCATCAGAGGTAATCAAAAGACATTGGAGAAAGGTGAAGCCGAGGAAGTACCAAATAAAGAGCCAAGAGCCTCCATAGGATATATCATCAGCAGATAATCGACTGAAAAATCCTAGCACCAACTGGAAAAGGATAAACAAGCCGGATCTGCCACATCAAGGAGCAGAAAAGCCTCATAAAACTGTAAAATGCAAGGAGCATATACTGAAAGGTAATAAAGCATGTAGAAAAAAATAACTCATCTACATTGAAATAGAGATATTTGCATTTGCATGGTTCTTATGGATATCTTTAACGAGCGAAGCCAATCCAAAATTAAATTTTGTACTCAAAATTATATTTTTTAATCCTTAAATTATGAGTCTTTGATCGGGCACAGTCGGAGATATATATTTGTTTTTAATCAGTGATGGAAGCAAAGATGCATCGCCATTCGGATTCTTTATAACAAGTTATAGATTTGGTTGTAACCAGGACCATTACGGTATCGACCACCTAATCCTCCGCACAGATTTAAACTACCATACCACTGTACTTCGACGTGAGTTAGCTATTTCCGCGTGGGCGATGACACATATACGACATGCTTGCATTCTGCTATTCGCAAATAGTATTATAAATCGGCATATGCAACCTTTAAATCTGGTTCAAAAAGAGGGTTAGTTGAAGTTCCATTTAAAAAATTATCTGCTTTTTGGTCCACTGATGGACAGAAAGACCGTAAGCATATTTACTCCTTCCTTTCCTTTCTCCTACTTCCATCATATTTTGCCGCTATATATTTTGCCATAAGTTAACACTAACCCTCTCTCTTTACGTTTTCTCCTATTATTATTTTTCAAGAATAACGAATATCAATTTACCCATACAGCATATATAATCACAATCTGCCGACCTTTTCTAAATGAAGTTCCTGTGGACCAGATAACTGCCAAATCGCTGAAAATCTGAATCCAACGTCGTAATTTCTAAGTGCCGCCCATCAAAAATACACGCCGGCGAATATAAATCTGTGGCATAACAAAAGAACTTTCCGTAAGTGGGTTTGTTACCTTTGCAGGTTTTTTTCATTTTCGTAGTGTATTTTACGTGGATTTGTTTCCTTTTTGCGTGATTTTTGCGTGCATTTCATGTACGCAAAGTTAATTGTGTGGCTAATTAGTCGAAAAACTGGGAGACCAATCATTTCATTAGGAATAAATTTGAAAACTTAAATGTGAAAAGTTTTAAAACTTAATGAACTAATTTGAATTCGTTTGGTACCAAATTTTCTTTTAATTTATTAAAGGATCACATAGATGAAATTAATTTTATTCAAATAATTTATTTACCGGATTTTTTTCACTTAAATAGCTTATCAGCTAATGTTTTTTTGCTTTTCGTTCGCTGTGGTCAAATAAGTGGAAAAAAAGCCTTTTCTTGTGCAAAGAAGTAGTTTAAAAACTCAGACTCGTGCATTTTCAATCGCAGTCGTTTTTTCGCAAATAGCGGGCAAATATTTTTAGATAATCTTCTTATGGCTATGTTTCTGCTCACAAAGGAGAGAATTTATCTTTCAAAAGTCGATATGATGCTGTCGATTTATCTGCTGCAAAATCGACTAAGTATTGCCAAGCATTCTTTAAATATCGCCCACGTGACTCCTTGGCAGTTTGCACTTATTTCGATAAGCCTGAGAGGCGAGCATGATCAGGAACTGTTTTTGTCAAATCAAATCATTTGTTGTTTATACGGTGCTGTGAAGAAAATAATACGGTTGCAAAATAAGTCAGATATTCGAAGGCAGTAAAAGCAGTCCATGACGGATAAGATAGAATGGCTTAAAAAATTTGGGATCTTTTGTGGTAAATTGTGGGTAAGAATATACTATGAGAATAAAAAAAAAAAAGTAAAAAAGGGAAAAAGAAATGATTAAAGTGGGAGGAAAGAAGATGGAAACATTCGTTGAGCAAGTAATAGAGAAGAGTGGTCACCAATTATCACCCACATTTTTGTAAGGTAAAAGTATAGATTCCTATCTGGAATGGAACTGCACTCCCCAGAAATGAAAATGATCCACTCTGCCGGATGGTTCTTTATAAAAATTAATCGTATTTTAATGATTATGCGACGTATCGATTTGACCATTCATTTTCTCTTAGTTGAAATTGTTTTTTTTAAAGGAATTTTTGCATTTTCTCCTAATTTGCATTGTTAATTTCGAGTTTTTAAATGCTTTGATTCTTTATTATCATTTATTTTAATTTTTTTTCTATATTTTCAGAGGCAAATGGCGGTTACTTTGTCGTGTTCATTTGGAAAACAAATTTCTTCATTATTAATTCGGTCAAATTTAAGGCGAAATTTATTGATGAGAATGTCCTCTGGTATATTTTTTCATAATATTTAAGTTCTTTTTTTGAAATGTTTTATTTAATTAAATCTATCACGAATTTCGCCAATTTTTTTTGGATTTTTTTCATTCATTGTAACATATTGCAAGAAAATTGTTTATTTTATTTTAAAATGTTCAATTCTCTCTCTAAAAATTTCGAATTCTGACTTTTTAGGAAGTTTTTTTCATTTTACGAAAAATTCATATAAGTTTGAAATTTATATGTATCGTAATAGTTGAAGTCCTTTTTTTAAAATTTTCTTCATAATCCGCGTAGTCTCCTTTTTTATTTGATTTTTAAGTTTCTTGTTTCTTCTTAATTATTTTCTTCTTTAGCATTTTTGATGGAATTATTTCAGTAGAGTGAGATCAAATTTATTAAATTTTTTATTTGGATTTAAAACTAAAATTTTAAAATAAATTTAGAACTTTCAAACAACTTTTCAGTTGAAGCAAAAGAAATAGCTATCGAACCAGGTCCACCATCACCCGTACCGACTGAGACTCGGAAAGTTTCTGAGAGGATCGAAGCTCTTGTTGATCAGATAACAAATTTATCGTTACTGGAAGTTTCTGATCTTAATTATGCATTACGAAAACGTTTAAATATACCGGAGACAATAGCAATGCCAGTGGGAATGGTTACGAATACGCCACGAATAGTTCCAGGTTTCATATTATTTCAATTTTTTTTATAAAAATTTGATAAATCTCTTCCTTTTCTATATTTGATAATTTTATTGGAAATATTTGGAATAAAATATTTTTAGTAGTCTGCACAGTTCAATTGCTTGTTTGGCTCGCTCCATTGGTGACTAGGGTACAACTTTTCCAAGCCTTAGATCTAGTGGCAATCCTGAAATTTACTGGTGACTACTTTTCCCACTGCTTAAGCTCGTATTATATATGTATATAGTTCAAAATTTCCCTTTATCATATCGATTAACTGTGTTCTATAATTAGAGCCTTAGATTGTGCCCTTTCGCATGTAATAGTCGCGACGACATTTCTCCTTGAAAAATCACTACTGCAAAAGTTTTTCGAAGCAGGTGTAGTGTCTGGATTGAGAATTAGGACGGATTTCCGGCAGGCAAGTGATATCCACACGAATATTTAATATTACTGCATCAGAGTCTCTATTTATACAGTCGTATCACATATATATCAAGTTAAGAGTTACCATGCGTGGATGCCTCTTACAATTTATTTGGGCCATTCTCCATATAATTATTTGGAGCTGAGATAGATGCAAATGAGCCCACAGCAACGACTCGGATTTGATTTTAGTGATAGGTTTACTTTTGTCTGGACAAAGATTATTAAGGAAGAAAATTTATAAAAGAAAATGAGAAAAAAGGAGGAAAAAAAGGAAAAATTTTTATAAAGGAATTCTTTTTGAAAATTTTTTAAAATTAATTTGGAAAGTTGACCAATTGTATAATTGTATAAAACTGGCTTAACACTTAAGAATTATGTAGAAAATACTGACATAAGTTTATCAATAATAATGAAATATACGGTAAAATATAGGCAGAGAATATTTTGATTGAATTTTTAGAGAAATTTTTAGGAAAATTTTTTTATATATTTTAATCGCAAAATTAGTTCAACATTTTTCATAAAAAAAATTCATAATATAAACAATCGAGCCGTTTATTAATTTTAATTTTTAAATTATTTAAATTCTTTTAAGTCTTTCATTTTTTTAATTTAGAAATCTTGTTTTTATTCTGTTTTTCTCCTTATTGTTGTGATTTAGAAGAAGAGGAGAATTCTTCGATTCAAAAGGAAAAACCGCAAAAAATTTCGTTTCGAGTAATGCTGAATTCATTCGATGAAACTAAAAAAGTTCCTTTGATTAAAGAAATTCGAAACGTGATTCCTGGATTGAATCTTGTGCAAGCGAAGAAATTCGTTGATTCTATACCTGCTGTTATAAAACAGGATATTGGTAAAGGAGAAGCAGATGAATTAAAGGCAATGCTCGAAAAAGTGGGAGGAGTGTGTGAAATCGAGTGATTTGATTTAATTTAGAAATATTTCATTTCTTTGGTGTTGATTATATTATAAATTCTTGATTAAATTTGAATTCGAGTAAAAAATTGTGAAAATAAAGCATTTTATTCCTCCTTATATTTAACGTTTAATCAGGTATTGGAAGTTTTTCCAATGTAATTTGCTGATTATTTGGAATATTTGGATGTGGCTTTGATTTAGCGATTTTTTAGCTTTTCAGTGATCGCTAGGCTAATGCATATAAAAGTATATATTCATTTATAGTTCATTAAATTGTTTAAATTTTTCAACTTTGTTTGTTACATGTGAGCCAATTTGTCATGTTTTGTTAAAAATCAGTTAAATTTGTATATTCTTGATTAAAAATGATTATAAATATGTTTAAAAGTTTACTTCAAGCATAAATCTGTTAGATCAGATCTTCCGTACTTGATTTGATTTCTTTTTTTTAATAAAATGGTCATTTGAAATAGTTATTGTAAATTTTGTCGATGATTTTTTAGCGAGATTATTCTATTCATTTCACTGAAAGTGAGGAAATATGGCGCGTGGTCATCAAAAATTCCAGTCTCAACAAAAAAATCTTAAGAAACAAGAAGAGTTAAAAAAGTCTAAAGGAAATGATCAAAGAGCAGCTGCCCAAAAAGCGTTAATTCATAAGTGCAGCGTTTGCATGGTGGGTTTTTTTTCATTCTTTAAAGAAATTTTAAGTTTTTATATACAAAACAAAATTCTCAGGTAAATGAATATAATGCGCTGAGAAATTTTTTTTAAAATCTTTTATGAAAGGAATTAGAAGTGCAAAATTTAGCTGCACAGTAATGCTAGTAACAATTCATGTGCATATGAAATTCTGTTTTATGATTTGTGTTTTAGGCATTAATGCCAGATCCAAAGACTTATAAGCAACATTTTGAATCGAAACATCCGAAAGTCGCTTTGCCGACGGAACTTATTGAAATTCAATCCTAAGAATTGTCCTTGCCAGTATCTTTGACTTTTGTGGTTTATTTCTCGGCGAATTTATTTCGATCCTCAATTACGGATTTGTTTATGTATGGAAAAGTAATTATTTTTTTCTTTTCAGATGTCATTTCTTAGACAGGTTTCATTATGTATCTGTTTATAGAATTTTAACAGCTGGCATTTTATTGAGATGGAATAAAATCGCCACTGACGTTTTCTTTTTTTATGTGAATTTTGCGTGGCTATTGGTGCAGAAATGTAAAATATTTTTTTTGTTCTGTAATTTATTTGATGGATTTGTATTTTTCCATGATAAAGCCCTTTTTATAGTTCGACTTGGTGATAAATTGGAATATTGGAATGTTTTACAATATCTTTATCTAATTGATTTTCTTTTTGCTTAATTGCCTTAATTTTATGTAGGCTTGCAACTTGCGAGAGCATTGGGTTCCCTATTATTTTGCTAAATTATGCTAAGATTATTTTTCAAATTTTGCTTGGGAAGCACAACGCATTTTTTAAAAAAATAAATAGAATTGATTTCTTATTTATTGACATTTTGTGAAATTCAGTTTTTTTTCCGAATTCTTCAATAAATAAGCATGACACGAGGCCATATGAAAATGCAAGCAAAGGCGAAGAACCTTAAAAAGCAGGAAGCATTAAAAAAGTCAGTTGGGCATGATCAGAAGGGTGCTTGTCTTAAATCGTTGATTTACAAATGTACAATTTGTATGGTTCGTTTTTATTTTTGCTTGAATTTGAAATATTTGATAAAAGCCAGCAATTTAAAACTTCAAAGATCAAAGTTTTTTTCATAAATGTGAAAAGTTATTCAACTATATTTAGACACAAATGATGGATAAAAGGAGTTATCGAGAGCATTTCACTTCAAAACATCCGAAAAGTCCTTTGCCAGCTGAACTTCTCGAAGAAGCGCCATCAGTTAGCTCCTAGCTACCATTCGTTTGTTCGAGTTATTTATCCATTCTATTTTCTTGTACTTTTCATTTTGAAAGTGATTCCCATCATAATTAGATTTTTTCTTCATCTATTCTTGATTTATTTTTGCTTTATTTCAGTATCTTGTTTTCTTTTTAATATAAATTTTTGTTACAAATATACAAATATAATGAATTACAGACTCCAGTTCATAGTGATATTAGTACTTGTCTTGCGTTTTTTTTGTGGTGAACGGGTCTATTGTAATTTTGTAAATCATGAAATAAATTTTTTTTTTGTTTTTTTAGCTTTTCTTTAAATTACAAAGTGATTTTCAAACTATTATCTTAGTTTAAAAGATAGGAATCCTATTCGGTTTCGCAACACCAAAGTATTTTACTTGTATATTCGTTTCGGCGCAGCAGCTCGTTTTCGTTTGGTCTTGGTGTTGGGAAAGAATTTTGCATGCATTCTTAAAGTGCATCGGGTAATTCGGCGATTTGAGAAGTGCTTTTACTGCATATTTTACTGTTTAGGCTATGAATATTTTTTGAATATTAGTGAATATTCGTAGCAGTTTGAATATTTTTCTTATTGAATTTCCGACGAGTCAACAATTTTTCATTTATGGAAATCCTCAACAGACGGCGTTATAACGACAGACAGATAAAGTTTTTTATAGCAAGTTAAAATTGCTTGTTCTGCTGCAGCTTTCTCGATTTTTTTTAGTTTTTGATTGGATAAGTCAACATGTTAGTTAGCGGTGTTGGGGTGGGGAGGGTGGAGGAGGAAGAGAATTGGTTGAGGGAAAGAGAAAGGTGACGTAAATCTTTTCGATGTGTGCAGCTTCAGCAGAGTGGAAGCAAGCATGGGATTAGTAGTTTGAAAAGAGTCATTAAGAATGAAATCTGGTTGGTTGGATTTATCTGGTTGGATTTTGGAGATCGATGTTTTTTTCCAAATAAATGCCTGTGGACTGAATTAAATAATGGATCGGCCACAATTTTTATATAATACATTCATTGTTCTCCTGTTTTATTATGGTAATAATAATAATAATAATAATAATAATAATAATAATAATAATAATAATAATAATGATAATGATAATGATAATAATAATAGTAAATATAGTAGTAATAATAATAATTCATTGTTAATATTAACAAAGTATTAATAATGATAATAACTGCGAAAATAATAAAAAATGATAAAAATAATAAATAAAATGAATGGTTTCATTATGTCGATTGACTGGATTTTGTGTCGTTTCGATTTCCATTTTTATTCGACATTGCCATTATTGCCATTATTATTTGATCAATGGGTGGTTCTCGACGGTTATTTCCAACTAGTTATTCGCTTTAAAAAAAAACTGAAAATCAGAAGAACCACTGAATCAAGAAAATTGGTTATTTGCTTTGTTTTATTTCTTACTTTTATTATTTCCTGTTGAACGATAGTTTAAAAATTTTTCATTATAATTGCTGTTTTTTAAAACTTTTCAGTGGATTTTTTCGGTTTATTATTCTTGTATCATTTCAGTATTGGATAATTCCAATCTAAAAGTGACATAATGGAATGAATGGCTTCTGTGAGATTCGGATTGATCAGCTTGGAAACCCTTGTCTTATAGCCAGCGGAGCCAGTGTGATGAGCAATGGTGAAAGCTGTTAGAAGAGGAGGAAGAAGAGGTTTGGACAGCTACTGTAGATCCATTTTTATCGAATCATTGACCAGCAGTTTAAGCTTTTTGATTCAAATTTTAGAAAAAGTGAATCGAATACGAATGGATTTACCTTCAGTTATTATTAAATATTGTTGTTAATATCAAATAGTTTTTTTTATTTTAGCTATATTTCTCATATTTTTCTTTGTTTCCGTTGAATTGACAAATCTTTTCATATTATTTTTTCAAATCATCGCTTAGAAAAAGAATTCCTTTGATTTTTGCAAAAATCTTGCAATTTCCTCTGAGAGAAATTATGAACAAATTGCTTATTTGCAGTAACTTCAACTATTCTCGTTAAAGGTCACTTGCTATCATTAATCAAATGAATATTTGCGATCTGATACTGATAAATAATTTATTTGTTGTCAAATGTTATTTCTTTGAGAATTCTCCTAGCAGCTTTCATTATTGCCGGTTAGATTGACTATGCTTGCTACATAGATAAGGTATTTCGAGTGAGTCGTTTGGTGCAAATGCGAGCCATCAAAAGATTATGAGGATTATAGTAAACTGATAATGATAGATAATATTTCAGATAATTGATTCCTACGTTCTTTTTTTCCTCTTATGAATTTGGTATAATTTGAAGGTCATTCATCTGTCATAATAATTCGGAGAAATCGCCCACTGTCGGTTTATTTATTTATTTATTTTAGATAACAACGAGATGTGGTTTTAAATAAATATTTTCCGTATTTTAAATTAATGATTTGTTTAGGAGAAATTAGAAAAATATTTCGAATAGTATTGTCAGATATGCTACATGTGCGGGATTTGGCTCGTCTGTCGGGATCGGGACTCGCCAAATATTTCGCTGTCAAACGCGAACTCTCTTTTCTCTTCTATCTTCGCAAAGGATGCAAAAATAAAAATTCTACTCGAAAACTGCCAACAAACAATCACAAACTTTTGTACGAATTTAACAATGGGTCGCGTAATAATAGCAATTTTTTTAGTTTCTCTAATTAGCTTTTGCTGTAATTTATAACGAAAAATAATGGTGAAAATTGCTGTTTTCTCATTTTTCCAAAATATTATTCGCTATAATTTGTTTATTTGTGTATTATTTGTTTTTTTAATTTATAAGGAGAGACTTAAATTACAGGAAAATTAGCCTAAATGACTTCTTTAAGAAATAGGTTATTATTTTCTTGTTCATTACTGATTTAGAATTGGAAGTGAAAAATGGAGATGGCAGTGGTTGGTGACGCCTAAAACACTTACAGAAATATATTTTATATTATTAGGTTTCTCGTCTATAACGGAAATTTATGTGTGTGAATTGCGATTTATTGCTTTACGCTTCTGTATTCGTCTGACGTAGAAGCACTTTTAATAATAATGACTACTCACGTACTATTAAACGTGTAAAATCTATAATCAGTGAAATGTTGATTAGCAAATTTTGTGCAAATGATAAAAGTCCATAACTGACAATTTTTTTAAAATTAGGCCCATTATGTCAATATTCTAGCAATTTTGGCAGTTTATTACCGTAGAACTCTGCTGAAACGATTTGTTTACTTTCTTCATTGGTTTGAATTTGATAGAACAGAATAAGATTTTCTGAGAACATTGCACACATTTGCACAAAATCTGCAAATTTATGCGTAATGCGTTCCAGGTGCTTTTTGTCGTTACTCAGGTCTTAGATTAGGTCCTTTTGCGAAATGTTTTTACCATTATTCGAATGGATTCACGCATCTTTTTTTTCAGAGATTTTTTCGTTCATTCATTCATAATTCATCTTTCTAAATTGTTTGAATTTTCTCAATTTTAGTGCAGAATCGCCCTACTATTCAGCATTCGTCATGCAGTACAAACTCACTTATTTCCCTATTCGAGGTAAATTTTTCATGCGTTTATTATCGTTCACAGCGTCGTGAAAATTTTTTAAGAATTTAGTGCTATCAGTGATACTAATTTGAGAGATAAATAATGTGAAATCGACCATTGCAACTACAAAATTGTTTTCTCGCAAAAATTGTGCTTTACTGTCGTACGTAAGGATGTTCGGTATGAAAGGTAATCTTCATTTAGGTTTGGCTGAACAAATTCGACTTTTGCTGAATGATAATGAAATTCCATTCGAAGACCATCGAATTCCTAAAACGGAATGGGAGAAATTCAAACCACAATTCGTTAGTATTAAATGTAATTTCTGTAGTTTTCAGTTTAACAAATAATTATTTAAGAATAAAATATAATTTAAAACGAAAAAATGGAGAATATGGATTCTCATAATTGTAGTAATTATTTACAGACTAACTTTTTTTTTTTAACAATGGCCTTTTTGGATTGATAAATAAATTTCTCGTTAAATCTTATATGCTACGCTCGGAACATTTTTATTCCCTTTAAAATTTTAAATAGCAGAATGAAAAATTAAGCATTTTGGACAAGTACCATGCCTGTTTGAAGATGGACATCAGATTGTGCAAACTGGTGCAATAATGCGTCATTTAGCTCGAAAATTCAGTTAATTTTTTTTTCTTTTCATCTTCATTTTAAATAATTTTCAAAAAGCATTTAAATTTGTTTTACATATTTTAATTATTTTTATTCCACCTATTTAGCATTCATCTTAATTTTAAATTTTGATCTGATTCATTCTTTATGAGTTAAATTTCAGTGGTTTTTTTCAAGGTTAATTTAGTTTATTTTTCATTTTCGTCTTTATTTCTAAACATTTTTTTTTAACAACGAATGCTTGAACAAAGGAGCAAAAAGAAATTGGCTTGTAGGTAAAAACGGCTATAGGGCTATAGTTTTCTTTGCATTTTTATTGCATATTGCCTTTTTTAAATAAATCGATCTTGCCTTAAATCTTGCCTTTTTATTAGATTTATATGGGACAAATGAAAATGAAGCAACGTTCGCAGATATGTTTTATGAAGGCATTCGAGATCTACACAACAAATATACAAAAATGATCTACTTAGCCTATGTTTATTTTCTTTTTTTGTTCCACGGTTTTATTCCTTAGTTTTTCCATTCGTTTGTTGATTATTTGTGCTATTCTAAATTAACTTAAATTTTCAGTTTTTTAAGTTTTTTCGTTTGTAATTGTTCAATGAATATTATTTATTAATATTTTCTTATTTTCTTTGATTTTTTCATATTCATCTGATTTCCAAATTTATCATTAACTTCGTAATTTTAGGAAACTGAAAAAGATAGTTTTATTGAAACTATACTGCCTGAGGAACTTGCAAAATTTGAAAAACTACTGAAAACTCATGGAAATGGCAATGGTTTCATTCTTGGTGATAAGGTATAAATTTTAATAAGAGGCAGGCCATTCGATCATTCTGATAATGGAATAAAATTGCGATATTTTGTCGAGATTTAGATTTTAGATTTAAAAAAAGTGGGATGTAAATTAATGCAATAATACGAGTGTGAAATCATCGACGGATTCCTTTTTTTATTTATATATTTATTGAACTGCATTTTTTTAGCAATTTGAATATTGAAATAGTTTTATTAGCTGAAATTGTATAAATTAATGCAAAAAAACTTTAAGATATGTTTTTCGGATTATGCACTCTTTGAAGAATTGGATATAATGGAAATTCTTGATTCGAATAGCTTGAACAATTTTCCTCATCTTAAAGCTTATCATCAACGTATGCACGATCGTCCAAATATTAAGGTTTTTGATGATATGGATTTTTTAGTTAAGGTTCTAAAAAAATAAGTTGACTTTCCCACGAAATATCTATTATAATTATAATTTTTAAAATTCAAAAATTTCCTTTCTGACGATTAGGTGGTCTATCTAATTCTCTTCAATGGCCATGATGGCCAAGCAAAAGACGAAATTACAACTCGGATAATACTTTCATGTGGTTGATGAAAAGACTGGTCGCGAAATCACTATAAAAACGAAAGTCCATATATAGTCGCTCGATTTGTTATATGGCTGCGAGACGTGGCGATTGAAAGTGGAAGATATTAAGAAGCTATCTGTTCAGTCTTGTCTAAGATACACCTTACCGAGCGGATAAAATCATGATTGTATCCACTTTTGTTCAAATACGACTTGTATCAGTACCATCACAGAATATCGCCTTTGCTAATTTGCTGGCACGCTCTTCATCGTCCACTACAAGAGTTGACGCATATTTTGTTACTTGCTAAACTGTATGATGGGTGGCATCAAAAGCATCAAAAGGTGGACGCTTCAAGACCTGGACCGATACAATTAGGAAAGGTTTTGGACGTACAGGTGGGCCAGCATTGTATGAACTTAGAGATGGAAAAGGAATGGCTTCAGATCGCGCAGCTTGGAAATGTCTAACCCTTATAGATAGCGAGCCTAATCAGTATTGGCAAGAGTTTAGAAGAAGAATTGCCATAGCTTCCATTTTCTTGATCTCATAATCTTCACAATCTGAAACAGATGAATCTGTTTAATGTTCTTAGCCTTTTTTTATAATTAAAGTTTCAATACAAATACTAAAAAAAAGTGGTGCAAAAAATTGGCATTGAAAAGTCATAAAGTTATAATGGATATATATTTAATTCTTTCTTGTATTTCTTTCGTTTTAAATTACAATATTGTCATATTTTACTTCAATCTTTTAAGAGTTACTATCAAAAGCGTCAAGAAATGAAAGTTCCAGTCAATGGTAATGGCAAACAATAAAATAACTTATAATCATTATCAGCATATAATCGGTAAATGATCAACCGATCGTTTTTTATTTTTTTTAATTTTGCATTTTGATTTTAATTTGGTATGAAAAATATCTTTTCTTTCTTATAAACATATATTTGTTTGCCAATCATTTCTTTCATTTTTTCCGTAATTCATTTATCTTATTTTTTGTTATTTCGGATAAAAGTTTATTTTCAAAAGGTGATTGTGTTTTTTTGTCCCTTTTTTTGAATGTTAATAGAAAATAGCTGCATTCTTTTAATACTTTTTATATTTTATGCTTAGAATTATGTATTATATATATTCGACTACTCTCAAAAATTATAGTGGTGATAAATGACGAACAATAATAATTTTAGGTTTAATTGCTAAAAAAAACGTTGCACCGTTGAATCATTTCCAGGAGCTTTGTATTTTTTCAGGAATATAAATTGATATAAACAAATAAATTTGGGAATAATATTTTAATTTCTAGTTTCGGTCAGTCGTCCATTCAGGATTTCTGGAAGATCTATCCAACACTGCTCATTTCAATCTAAGTTTCGAATTAATTATCCCCTTTATAATACGAATTAATAAGAGGTCCCCAAATAATTTCTCGTGTTTAATATTCTTTAATTAAATCAAAATGAAGTGATGTGTTAATATTTGTTGAGGAAACTTTGGTTGATGGTTTCTAGTAATAGTACCCTTTTCTTCATTCACTGTTTATTTCGGAAGACTATTTAATTGGTTTTCATTTCCACAAATTATTGGTATTAGTGAAACTATTTTCGGCAAAACCGCCAAATTTATTAACTTCTGATCGTACGGTTCTCGTAAAATACTTTTTATCGCTGTTGAAATATTATACGTTTAAACAAATTAAAGTATACGAAATAAGTTGCAATTGATACATTTTCATTTATTCAGAAAACATTTGAGCATCCGAAATAGCCAAAAGTTTGAAATCGCATGCCTTCAGCGATCAACGACACAAATTTATTACAAAAGCTCTTAGATTCCTTATAACGAAATTTTTAACACTTTGATTTTATATTTGCACCAAAAAAATTTTCATGGAGAAAAAACTAAAAATTCCGGCAAAGCTAATTCGTGGAATGCAATTTTTAGCGATTTATTAGTACGGTTAGAAATTTTTGTGAGTCAATTAGCGATGGAAACAGGCGGATCGCCATCACCTCTCAAAAAAATTTACATCTGATTTTCCAAAATTTCGTCCGGAAAATTCTCTGTTATGTGTTCGAAAATCAAAACCAAGAACTGGTATATCGAACTAGCAAAATTTGGCAATTTCGATCCGAAAGTTTTTTTAAATTGGTCTGCTTTGGTATGACAGCATTTCGCGTCACTCTTTCTTATCTTGTGATGATGATTTATGACCAGAAGAGTTAAACGATAAGAATTTATTACAATAAAGGTATTTCGATTAAAAATGCGAGTGAAGTTGCTAATGAGGGGAGCAGGAATGAAACAAGAAAAATATAATATATAATATATTCTTGCAGCTAAAACGAAAACCTAATCGAGCGGAAACTGGAATTCGGTTCTCCGATTCGGTAGTGCTAATGCACCAAGCGAATCCATTTCTGCCCATTCTAAGAACCGGAATGAATTATTTGTAATTCCCATTTTTCAAGCATCTTACAGATTGTTTCCTACAAAAACTCTTTTTTTTTAATCACTTTGATAAACTCTAAATAAAATCGTATTTAAGGTGCTCTCCTTTCTTTTTTCTTTTTATTAATATTATTAGCATAGCAATATTCTTGTTTTTGCCACCTTCAATAACATTATCAGTGAATATCTTTATTTTGCTTATATTTACTCAGTTCTTTGGGGGTTTTGCACATAAATTTACAATCTACTGATCTATTGTGGATAAAAATAAAAGTGCACATTAAACATGTTGGAATTTCTCTGATTTTTTTCGATATACGGTATATACAGTAAATGCGATTCTCTAGAAGCAGGCTGCTAGGCTCCTCATTTCCGACTTATCGTGCCATGAAGTGAGGACTTCGAGATGGGCACCCAGCAGCAGTCGGAAGTTTGACAATAGGCTTAAGGTATGTTCCCAACCTTGACATTAGAAATGGTCTGGGGCGAGCAACCTATAAAAAATTGGTTTTAATACTCGTTTTGAACTAGACTGTTCCTGTCAGAACGAAGCAGATTTTATCTGTAAGCAGATATCCCAGATTTGTTGCAGTTTATCATTTAATCGATGGAGGCTTAAATGTTGTTTTTACAAGCCAATCTCAGCAAAATATTTCTTGCACAAAAAATCGCTGTTTTTTTCGCATTTCTTTTAAGTTTTGCAGCAGGTATACCTTCTTATCACCAACAATGCATCAATCGTCCAATCGCCTTTGTGTAAAATTCATTTTAAACCAGAATTTTTCCCTCAAAATAAACATTTTTTAAATATTAAATAATTAAAATAGCAGTCACCTCTAAACAGCTGCAAAATTCATTAAACAATTAATAGTATAATATCGTGTTACAAATCGATTCTATGGAGGTCGTTCGATTGATACTTCGCGTTTTGTTCTTTGAACAATTGCTTCTTTTCAGTTGAATTTTGTTTTCGCTTTCTCATTTGGTCGTAATTCTTTCATTGATAAGTAATTTGTCAATTTAGAATGATAATCTTATCAGCGTAGAAGTAAAGCCTTTTGCTTTATTCGTTTATAAGTCAAAGTCTTCGGCTTATGGCTTCTGCATAAATTACGAACCGAGCATTTATCGCAAAGAACTCGCTATTCCTTCCTTTTTTATTATTTATCGCTGATTAAATAAAATATCTAAACTAGCTGAATCGTACGTGAAATTTTTTGCACTGCCTAGAGACTCGTTCCTTTCAAATGCTCCGTTAAGGTAGAACAGTGGGGATTTAGCAGTTCGAAGAAGAATTAGGGAAATAAAACGCGAGAATTAGAAAGATTTAGCAGTCGAGTTATACGAATGATTTGGGTGGATATGCGTATGGTTTTAGCGCAAATAATTCGTGTAAATTACTCTTACGTAAATTCTATAACAAGCGGCATTTTATGATTTCTTCATTATAGGGCGTTTAGATTCGTTTTGATTCGCCACATCAAAATTTTTTCCGCTGCTCACACGTATCGCAAAAAAATTTCTCTTAGACTTAGCAGAATTTTCTGTGATTCTAAAGAAACTGATTGATTTACCTTTTTTTCTAGGAATTTCATAAAAAATATTTCAGTATCGATGTTTGCTGGAAAATTTCTAATCATTACTTTGACTACAGTGTGCTTATCGCTTTGCGATGATTCGAGTAAATCGTCTGAAGAATCGAGTGAAATCTTTAGTAGAAAAAGAGAAGTCAGATGCATTCGAAAGTATTCTTTTTTCCTGAATTTTTATTCTGAAAAATCTTTTTTTTTGAATTCCGAAAATTTATTGCAAATTCATATATAAATTAAGAAAAAAAATTTATTTATCTCGTCAGCAATTTTGTTTTATTTTGAGATATTTTTTAATGCAAATTTTTGCCAAATTTCTGAATGAAATTTTAAAAATTCGCCGTAGAAAAAAATAAGAATCTTATTTATAAAATTAAACTTTTCAATTTAAAAAAGAAGGAATTAACTATAAAAACTGCAAATGAGCGACTGCAAATGTTCCGTTCGAGATCCAAACAAAAATTGGTACAAATATCTCTTTTGAGCCAAATTTGGAAAGTCCCTCGAAGAACCCAACCGTGCTATAAACCATGGAATAAATATGGAATTGCCACTAGTGCAGTTGATTTTGCTTTATATTTATTATTAAGGTCAGTGTTGGATGAACTGCGAGATCAAAAAATTGAACAATTTGCGGAAAAATTGACCGGCCAGGACCTTGTGGATTTTGTAAATAAAAAGCAAAATTTATGGACAGTGAGTTATTATATTACAGCAGAAATTTGACAAAATTTGACAAATTTACTCTGAAAATGCGACAGTGCTCATAAGATAAGAATATTTGCAAAATCGGATAATTAAAATTGAAAATATGAAATTTGCTTCGTTGGGGTGAAAAGGCAATAGTTGAATTATGAATGGAATTCAGTGATGATAAATTGACACTCATTTATAGGGCAAAATCAGGCAAGTGAATGGCTGAATGGCCGTGTGCACATGTTAATAATAATAACATAAAAACATTATTAAAAACATAACAAAAATAAAAAGTGAATAATTTATATTTGGTTATTTCTAGGCCAAATTATATTCGAAATTCGAATCATTATCCAATCGGGTGAAACGTGGAATGTTGGGAGTAAAACATATGGCATTGTCGGCGGATGAGAGAAGAAATTTGTCACCAACGCGTTTTTCTTCAATGTACATACCAGAACAGTTCGATTCGCGAGAACACTGGGATATGTGCCCATCCATTAAAAATATTCGTGACCAGTCATCCTGCGGTATCGACTTATAATCAGTCAATCTCAAAATCGTTCTAAATACCGTTAATCAAAAACTTTTTAAAATTCAGGCTCTTGTTGGGCTTTCGGAGCAGTAGAAGCAATGTCAGATCGTATTTGCATAGCAAGTAAAGGAAAAATACATGTGTCACTTTCCGCTGATGATTTGCTTAGCTGTTGTAGATCTTGTGGATTTGGGTATGCTGATTATCATATTAAACTCAGTTCCCTTAAATTCAAATGTTGCAGAAATGTTGCTTAATGTTGATCTCTCACAATTTTTTTTCTATGGCTAAATATAGGTCATTCTCGGATAATTTTAATAAGAGGAGAGACTTCGAAACTAAGGCTAAGACCTTCAGAAAATGTAGAAAAGTTTCCATTGCATGTTATTTAATCGAGTTTTAAGTTTAAATAAAAATAAACTATAACCTACTTGAAAAAATAAAGCATTTGAAGGGTTTCGACCTTAAATCTTCTTTCCCACAATAGGTATTATTTTTTGTTGAGCGCATGCTGCTTAATCTTAAAATGGTCTCTCGTTCTAAATATCTTCCTAGCAAAATATTGAATTGAATTCATTCGATTCATGATTTTTTTCATACAATTATTTCTTAAGCCTTGCCAGCTCTTATTAATATTTCATTATAATGGAGATTTTGTAGATTTCAGAAAGTTAGTTGGCTAATGAGCGAATAGGGGGTAGAATGGCTCAGTGGATTGTTGCTCAATTAAGAGCGCCGATGCTAAGGTTCGATTCCCCGTAGGAGTAAACCTCTGGCAACACAGCTGTGTTTCTATCGCTAAGGGACTTCCTGGCATATTGTCCAATTGCGACAAGCCAGTGGAACGAGTTTAACCAGCAAGGGTGAGGACTCATTAAAAAAAAAAAATGAACGAATAGTTTCTTATTAGATATTTTGAGAATTTTTCAGATGCAATGGAGGTGAACCAATGGAGGCCTGGCAATACTGGGTGCATAATGGAATCGTCACTGGAAGCAATTTTACTTCCCATGATGGTTGCAAACCATATCCATTCCCACCATGTGAACATCACTCAAATAAAACGCATTATAAGCCATGCCATCACGATCTTTATCCAACTCCCAAATGTGAAAAGACTTGTGTACCTTCATATCATGACAAATCTTATTTGCAGGACAAGTTTTATGGTAATGATTTCTCTTGCATTTCGATTCAAAATTTATAATCCTAGAACATATTATTTTGATCCATTCTAGTCAGCAGGACTAAGCATGTCATCATCAATAATGAAATCCGAGTGGTGCTAGGTCCTCACATCTAAATTTTCAAATGGTTCTCTCATCCTGAAAGCTAGTGGGCTAATCAAATCAAAAATGGCGCCATTAGAAGAAACTGTAAATGAATGCTTGAGTCCACTTCTATTTTTGATTAATTTTTACTAAATTTACTTCTTGAATGAATATTGATAATACTTCTACTGTTAATACTACTGTTAATATTATTTCTTCTACTACTTCTACTAATATTACTTCTTTTAACAGTTCTCAATTGCTAATTAAGCTGGCTTCTTCACGAAGAGACGCTCGATGCTTTATATACCACGCATTATTAAAAGATTAAAAGAATCCATTATTTCACCCTTTTCCTCTAATCTCTTATATCTAAATCTGATTGTACCAGTCTCGATCTTGACTGCTCCTCCTTACTTTTCACGTCATTCATCAGAACTTAGCAAAAACCCTGGGCATCAGAGAACACGCTGGGCAACATGGCCTAATCAGCGTAGGCGACCTTCTGTGTCGATATTTTGAAAGCATTAGAGTAAAATTTGATGCAACCAGTAAATGTTAAAGTCAACCATTTCCATGATGAATTGCTAAAATGGTATTAATGATGAATATAGAAATGATGCTTTATCACCATCAGCGTAAAGGATATAAGACGAAAAAACTTTCGTTTTGTTGATCCTGAATCCGGTTTTTGCTGCAGTTATCGATACACTATTTAACACTCTTGCATTTCTTCAGAAAAATCACGTAGTTATTATCATGTAGTTGATTATAGCAGTAAAAAGGCAGTCTTGACGTACACTAGTTTGGGTAAAGGTTTATTTATATATATATATATTGACCTATGCCGATGATCGCGGATAAAATGCCTTTACAAATCAAGCGATTTTTTCTGGATACTGGATACTGTGCCGTCTGTCTGTACTGTACTACCGTACAGTGCCTTACAACCTATACAGTCTGTTCTATCCATTGAATCGAAGATAACGGCAATATTAATAACACAAGTGGCAGTGGGTTCCCGATATTCAAAGCGATTTTATAACTACCTTCGCAAATATTAGTATGATCAACACATCCGCATCCATTCTGAATCCAGCTTGGACGCATTTTAGTACCTATTACTATAATCATACTTTTAGTTGGTACCAACATTTATCGGCTATTCTAGAGATATCGCTGATATCATTGAGATGATTCAGCTTAATTCGTTCTCTGAGTCCAAGTCTTTTTAGTTTGGAATTGCTGAACGACTTAAAGAGGTGCATCTTTTTTCGAGTTAGCTTTATTATGTGGATCTTATATCAAAGCATAATATCAAAGCATAATAAGAACAGCTATCTAGTACGAATTCTTCCATCGACGAATGCATTGGTGACAAAAGTCCATGCCCTTCGCCAAAGCGAAGAAAGTGCTCTATTTGCACCAGTTTCCGGCACCATAATCACCAACCACGGAATCAATTGTGGTAATGTGGGCATGCATTTTTTCAGTCTTCTCGATTATAAAATATCACCTTTCAGTAGAAATGTTGTTATTAGTTAGAATTCCGCATAAAAATTCCTTATCACGGTCATCTGCGCATAATACAGAAATACACAGATGGCCCCGATTGCAGAAATTCACTTTGAAAGGGGTATAAACCGTACGGGTATGGTCGTTGACTAGTTTCCATGCATTCTGGGCGGGTTGGGCTCTTTCAAATATGACAAATGCTATTCCATTTCGTTTTAAATTATTTACCAAGTGGTGCAGCCTTTGCTTCAAGGGAAGTAAAATAAATGTACGGAAATTGAAGAACACGAGCTATTATTCAAGATGAATAAATTTTTTTCTAGTCAGAGATTTCTACTTAATCATTACCAGTTATAAGATATTAGTTAATGAGATTTAATCTTTTTGGAAATAATGTGGCGATAAGGAAATTCTTTTTTCTAGACGGAAAACATGGATTTTTTTGCTATTGCATATTTCCGGATGGTGAAATTACATTGCATGGAAAATTCAGTTTCACATTATTCTCTTTTAGGAGAGCATGCTTATGCTGTCGAGGATGATGTTTTATCAATTCAGAAAGAAATATTGACCCATGGTCCAGTAGAAGCATCATTCGAAGTCTATGAGGATTTTCTTACCTATGGCTCAGGCGTCTACAAGGTCTTAAAATCTGATAAGCAATTTTAATTTAAGATAATTTAAGAGAATTTTATTATAATATCTTTTCGTTTATCTATTATCTTGAATAATCTTTTGAAGCATGTTGCTGGTGCTTTCGATGGTGGCCATGCTGTTAAACTAATTGGCTGGGGAATCGATCAAGGAGTTCCATACTGGACAGCAGCAAACTCATGGAATGCCGATTGGGGTGAAGATGGTTTGTTTTTCGAATTAATTTTCGTTGAACATGCCACCAACATTTCAGTTAGCATTAATTTCTAAATATTACCCTAAATTTAATGGATAATGGATAATTTCGGATAATTTAGGCTTCTTCCGCATTCTTCGAGGCGTAGATGAATGTGGGATCGAAAGCGGTATTGTTGCTGGTTTACCTAAATTGCCGAAATTGAATGGCACTGATGCAAAAAGCAAGGATAAATTTGATGAATTTGTAGAAATTTTCTGATTTCTTTTATCACAAATCTTATTTTTTAACATTAATCATGCAAGTATGCTAGGAAGCTACTATATTAAGAATACTATTTTTCGATTCTGTCTCACCTAATGATGAAAAATTTTTTTCTTTAATTTGCATAAGAAAATTTTGCATAAGTTTTCAAAATAATCGCTTAATGAATATATATGGGCTATAACCATCTGTCTCTGAAGCTTGGAAAATCATTTAGTTCATTCACTTATGGCTTAAATACTTCTAAAATATGCCTCTCGTGCAGATAATTTGGAGGAATCGAGCTGTATAGGTGGAAGTGAATGAACGAGCGAACAGATTTATAGGCTTTTTAGAGAAAGTGGGAATGATGTTAAAAAAATTTTATAAATTTTGACGCTTATAGATTGGTTCACCTTCTTTCTAAACGTGTAGCACAAAAAGGTTACATAAGAAATTAAGGGAATTTATTTTTATATTGTTTGTTAATTTTTATATCTATGTAAACAATCTATAGAATATATATCTCTATAATTTTTATAAGCAAAAGAAATCAATAGTATTGCCATTTGTATGAGTTGAAACATTTGCATACAATTCCAAGTCAAGGAATAAAGATAAGGGACGAAGAAACCCTTGTCGAGGGATAAATGAACATTCTGGCAATACGTAAACAAATGAAGGTCCTATTTGAACTAATTTTATTTATGGGAAATTGCAATTTAGACTGACAATCAAAATTTAAACATTTTTTCAAATTTTCAAATTTCCATATACCATTTTTTCTGGAAAAAACTTGTTTTTCCAGTTTTTTCAAGTTATCCAAATGGCTTCTGAATCTCATATGATTAGACAAGTACTTCATCATACAATTCTTAATTTGAAATATGCACTAATATACAAAAATAAGCGTATTACATAAGCGAAGTCTGCATGAATAAATGTATGAATAAAAATTAATTTGTAAATATTCTTGTCCGTACGCTTAATCACATATATTTTCCACAAGAATTTGTCGTAACTATATTTGATGGCTGCAGCTTTCATCAATTTAGCTCAAGCATATTTTAGAGGAAAAATATAAAAAAAGTATTATAAAAGGATTTTATCGGCCCAAATGTGCATAAATGGAGAATTGAGACAACTTTTCGACGTCTAAAAAAGGCTGTATTGGCTAGGTGCCCATGCTCTTTTCCCTATTTTTCGACGATGCAATAGAATGGGTTTATGGATATTACCTGCCAATACTCAAAGTGCGCACATAAACGTGAAATATCACCTTTGGATAACAGGTTAATAATAGCTAAATTTCACTGACAAAAGACAGCAGATCGAACCAATTCCCTTAGATTCCCTCAGAAGAACCAACAACCAACATAATATTCACCTCAACCAATTATCTAAATTAAGCCGTCAAATAGATGCTATTTAGGAAATAACTGGGATATAAATCGCTTCATCAGTTGGTCCAAGTATTAAATGTAAGGCAGGTGGTGTGATGAATTCTTACATTTGCAGTGGTCTTCCAAACATTTTTTTTTCAATTAGTTATGCAATGGAAACCGTACGTAAGACATTTTTAACCAAAGTATTTCTTTATGTGAAGCACACATTATTATTATTTAGATAAGAAGCATGACGAAAAGCCAACAGAGTTAGTTTTAACAATTTATAAATGGAGAACGCTCGCTTAGGAATGATAAGCTTCATTTGCTTGGTGCTAAGATTTTCTGGAAGTGTTGAAGACGAGTTAGTAAATTTTATCTTTAGTTTCATTTCTCTTAATTTTCCAGTTTTTTTCGCTGTAGACCAATTAATGCATGGGCTATGCAGTTTTAAACTTGCTTCGATTTTTAAACCTCTGTGCAATCCACTGGTCCACTGGCGTCTTTCGGTTCTCTATGGACTTCGAAGAATCCAAACAAAGAATTCTTAGAAAAAAATAGCTTCGAAAAAATTATCTTAAAATGCGAATGGAATATGCATCGTCAATTTCATATGTGATTCGTGTGCCAAAGTGGCAGATATTGCATACTACGGTCCGTATTGAAAAAAGTGCTAAATTTCAGTCAGTGATTAGTGAAAATTGAAATGTATACTTTTTTCCCTTTTTTCCCATACTTCACGAGCCCCAGTGAGCTCATAAGATCCACAGTTGAATATGTGATCTCTGCAAATAGAAAGCTAGTAAAGGGAATATAAACTGATAAAAATTTCAGGCCAACAGAATTGTTTCATCAAACATTGATTGATTACGTGAATAGCAACCAAAATCTATGGAAGGCATGGAATTTTTCCAAAATATTCGTTGCAAATTATAGGTTGTGATTTACCAATGTCTTTTCATTTAATCGAACTCAATATAACTTTTAGGCTAAATTAAATAAGCGCTTTGCATCATTAACAAAAGATGAATTACGTCGTTTTTTTGGAGCCAAAAAATTAAACAGCTTGAAAAAAGCAAAGTTCGCAGCTGAAGAAAATTATGCCAACATCGATATTCCAAAATCATTTGATGCTCGAGATCAGTGGCCTCTCTGTTATTCAATTCGAAACATTCGGGATCAGTCCGCTTGTGGTGCAGTTTGTCAAATCAGCTTTTCTTTCCTCTAAAGCTTTTTTTAAAACGTGCAAATAAAAAATGATATTTTATTCATTTTGTGCAATTAGGGTCATGTTGGGCATTCGGAGCAGTCGAAGCGATGTCCGATAGAATTTGTATAGCATCGAATCAGACGAAAAAGGTTACGCTTTCAGCCAGAGACCTTCTCAGTTGTTGCAATGAATGTGGAGATGGGTGAATACTGCTTACCATTTTAATTTCGAAATTTTACACGTATTTTCTTCAAATAGTTCGAAGATTTCAGATGTGATGGTGGTTTTCCATTATTGGCTTGGGAGCACTGGTACAATAAAGGCATTGTAACTGGAAGCGATTATATATCGAACACTGGTTGCCAACCATATCCTTTCCCCGAATGCGCTCATCATAATAATAACAGTCACCTACCACCATGCAATGCAAACCTCTACGATACACCTACTTGTAAATATGAATGTTCAAATAGTTATTCGAAATCATATAGCAGTGATAAATATTATGGTGAGGCGACCGGTTCCCATTTATTTCGAAAAAAAGCCGCACTCACTTTTACTGAATTCAGGAAATCGTCCATTTTCGTTGCTTGAAAATGTAACTCGCATCCAGCTCGAAATATTGAACAATGGTCCTGTTGAAGCTGCTTTCGATGTTTATAGTGATTTCATTTATTATGAGAAAGGAATTTACAAGGTAAAAATTTTTATTCAAAGTTAATCAAAAGCCCAAAGTCATCCATTTTCGTTTATCTGAATTTCTTAAATGTTTAATAAGTATTTTATTGTGAATTGTTTGTAGCACGTAACGAGTGATACAATTGGTGGCCACGCGATTAAAATCATCGGTTGGGGCGTAGAAAATTCGACTTCTTATTGGTTAATTGCGAATTCTTGGAATGCAGAATGGGGTGAAAATGGTCAGAATTTTTTCAGTTATATTTCAAATTTAATTCTTTAAATTTCCCGTCGATTATAAATTTTTTGCTTGTTGGCTTATTGAAATTCAACGGCTATACACGTCAGTAGTGTTCCAAAATTAAAATTATCCTAAGATTATCCTCTTGAAGGGCAATGAAAAATGAGCACTTTTCACGCGTTCATTCAGATTTAGAAACCAATTCACATTTATTTATATTTCTAAAGACTAAAATTAGCTATTTATTAAATCAATAAATGAATAACAATTAAATGATTCGATCAATTTAATATGTTTAATGTGCCTTTGCTTGAATTTAGGCTTATTCCGCATGTTGCGTGGAACGAATGAATGCGGAATCGAAGAAAATGTCGTAGCTGGCACCCCAGATTTTTCCAGATAAACCTCTTTGCTTCAATTCGATTGCTTTTGATATTGCTGTTTCATTTACAGAAAGAACCATTGAATAAATTCTATCTACATTCTCATTTGTCTGCCTCCACTGATCACCAGGATGTGATCCTTTTGCCTGAGAACCGCCTAACTATGGAACAAGTCAGCATTTATCATAGGACTGATGCCAAATGATTTTTCTTTAAAAAAAGTTTAAACCAGTAAAAAATGTTCTAAAATATAAGCTAGAAAATTTTTGAGTCCCATAGAAGAAAAATAGTGAAAACATTTAATGAATTCTTAGACAAGTTATCTTATCAGTAAAATTCTTTTTAAAACCCTCTTTTCACATGAAAAAATCTCGGTTAAGAAGAGAATCATATGAGACATTTTTTGTAATTTAATAATTCATTAATTTAATAATTCATTAAATAATTTTTTTTTTTTAAATTTCCTTGGTTAAAACTGCATTTTCTTCGGAGGATCCATAAATTAGATGACCGATAATGCGAAAGATTTATTTATATATTGTTCATGCGGAGAAACTATCTATGTATATTATCTGCGTAATAAAAAGATCGATGTAATAAAAAGAGCGAAGGAATAGCGAAATATGGACATTTTGAAGATTAGTAGAGGAAAAGTACCAAAGCGCAAATTTATTTTTCTAAACCAAAACCGAACAGCACCAAAAATATCAAATAACGATGACTTTTGATGATTGATTATTTATGATTTTTATTACAGAAGTAGACAAAATATATTCAGGCATAGCAAATTAAAGATTTGGGCGAAATTTGGATACAGAAAAATCAACATTTTTTCATGGTGTATGAACAAGTCTGTTTTCCTGTTTTGCTGAAAAGTTGCTCATTTGTAGGTACTTACAAATATCGTTGCTTTGGCCTGAACGAACCTTTCTCTAATAATGAGCGCATTTACAAATACTGCTAATCCAACAGGAAGGAAATTTTTAATTTTTTATCCCTTCCTTCAGGAACTGACGAAGATCCATTCTGTAGCCGTTTTTCGATTCTCTAAAGCGAAATGTACTTATTTTTTCAAAATATTTATTTTTGATATTCAACGAATCTTTAGCGAGTGAGCAGAGCATATTTTTCAAAACTCTTCGATTGTAATTTTTTGACTGAAGCTGAAACCGACGACCAAAAATACTATGATCATATCATTCATTAAATTTCCTTAAGGATTATCAATCAACTTGTATATGCATTCTTATTACTATCTTCCATATCTTTGTAAAAAAACGAGCCATAATGCTATGCGCTGATAAAGAAAATGATAAGAAAAAAGATAAAATAAAGCAATATTTGCATTAAAAAAGTGACAATAGCAGTAGCATTATAAATATATAAAAAAACTGAAATTATATCATACCTGCCATAAATGGTGCAAATAAAGTTGTGAATGATATTCTTCAATTTTTTTCAAAATTGATTACTCTTTTCGAAACAAAAAGTAAAAAATTATAATTTATTTCAATAATATAGAGTACAAATCAAAAAATTGCAACCATTCAACTGAGGTAGAAAAACTTTATTCAGTAATTTCAGTCCATTAATTTCTGGTGCCGTTGCAATTTTTATAAAGCTTACTGCAATTCAGGCTAACATTACCATGCGATATTATACGTTGCAAAATGATGTTGCAAAAAATAAGACCGCATTTAATTTTTCTGAATTCATATTTCTCCATAAATGAATGGATTTGAAATTTAACTTAAATTAAAAGGGCATTACCAGTAGCATTCACCAAGGAAAATGGCTCAATGGGTAGTTTTACTCAGTTTGGAGTGCCGATGCTTCGGTTCTATTCCTCGCAAGAGAAAACCTGTCCAAAAATCCGGATGATGCTGGCATTCACCTGCACTTCTATTGCCAAGATGCTGCTCGGCATATTTGTCTAGTGCGGTAAGCCAGAGGACCGAGTCTAATGAGTGTTCTTTGAAAAAAAGTGGCATGCTCCAATTTTAAATATTAATATAATATTAAAAGGATATCCCGATTCAAGAGGGATTTCAAATACTTATATGGGTTGCAGAAAGCAAATCATGTTTGAAAACGTGGCTAACGAAATAATTTATTTATTTCTTAAGCCAAAGATGAATTTGTGGATCTCAGCGATTAACCTTCAGTCTTCATTTCGTGCTTTTTTTTCGATTTGCAAATCAATATTATTAAAAGCGTTAAAATGCCAGTTACTTTAGTTGTACTCCAAGCAATCATCGATTACTGTATTGTAATATTGAGTAAAAGTTAGTTGTGAGAGATGAATGAGCGAATTGCAAACGGGCATAAAAATGGAAATTCCAGTTGAACGCTCATTCATTTCAGTTGAATTATTTTCAATTACTTTTTTTTCTAATTGTAACTGTAAAGACGAAAATCTAATTTTCCAGTTATCCCATCAAGCAACACTAATTGCATCATCAAGCAGCCAAACAAATCTTAAAAAATAAGAACGAACGATGATATCATGGATATTTTGAATAGCCACTGCTAAATTTCTGTTTTCGGTTACTCATGCGTAGCACATTCAAGCACAAAATATTGTTTGAAACAAACACTATTTTGCTAGCGAAAAAATGTGCAAGGAGAAAAAAGGTATAAAATTCAAATGAGTAATAGCATTAACGATTTCAAGAATGGAGAACGGTTGCCTAAAAATCTTAACTTTCCTTTTTCTTCACCTGATGTTACCGTTTTCCAGAAGTATCGAAAGCGATAAGTAAGCTAATTTTTTTCATGCCGTTTTACAACTTTTTTCTGCTTCTCATATCAGATTAAAAATAATATTTCCAACTTTGCCGATGCCACGAACCTCTTACGATCTGAGATAAGTGCGAAATCCTTTTTTGAAATATGCCACTTCGAATATTTTTGGATATGCATAAAATAGATTGCACATAGCGAACAAGTAATGTGGGATGATATCTGCGATACTTTTTGTCGATGTTACAGGTACTCCTGATAGCGCCACTAATGCTTACTGATAACATTTGCAGTTAAAAGGACTGCTAAATCTCAGTTAGAAAATTATTTAGCGTGAAAAAGCGATGCAAAGGAGAAATTTTAGGTCAACTACTCTATTTCATCGAAATTTGGTCGATTATATTAACAATAATCAGAATCTGTGGAAAGTATGCAATTTGAGCTTTTCTAAATCGCAATATTTATTGCACATTTCATTTGCCAATATTTTTTGTTAATCCACAATTTGCGAATTAAATCCTTTTCAATAATTTCTTTTAGGCTGAAATAAATAAACGCTTTGTATCGCTCAAAGCAATTGATTTACTTCGTTTTCTTGGAACTAATAGGCTTGGAACTAATAAGCAAAAAATAAAACACACAGCTCGTGAAGAAAATTATTATGCTAAAACCGAAATTCCTGAATCATTCGATGCTCGAGAACAGTGGCCTTTATGTAATTCAATTGGAAAAATACAAGACCAGTCGACTTGCAGTAACCGTTTTTTAGCAAATAATAATATCATTTTTCCATAGGCAATGATTTTCGATGATTTTTTAAAATCATTACGATAGGATCCTGCTGGGCAATTGCCGCCGTCGAAGCGATGTCCGATAGAATTTGTATAGCCTCGAACCAAACGAAACAGGTTATGCTTTCGGCCAGAGATCTCCTCAGCTGTTGCAGTAAATGTTCGAATGGGTAAATAATGCGTATCATTTCTTTTAACCCCTTCAATTTGCTCTAAAAATCCATAGAATATATTGAATTTAAAATTTTAGTTGTAGTGATGCTGGTGATCCGATCGCTGCTTGGGAATATTGGAACACTGAAGGCATTGTAACTGGAAGCGATTTTGCGTCTAACGCTAGTTGTCTGCCTTATCCTTTCCCTGAATGTGATCACTTTAATCAGAGCATTTACCACCCCTCGTGCGGTCCGGAAATTTATCCTACACTTAACTGCATATCTGAATGCTCAGAAAATTACTCGAAATCATATGCAGATGATAAATACTACGGTAAAACAAACGATTTTTTGACAAAATTCTTATTCATTCTTTTTTTTTTGCTTTTAGGCTTCTCTCCCTATTTATTACCTCGAAATGTAACTCGCATCCAGCTCGAAATAATGAACAATGGTCCTGTTGAAGCTGTTCTTAATGTTTATAGTGATTTCATGAGCTACGAAAAGGGAATTTACATGGTAAACTTCACTAAAAACTCAAAATCATGCAATTTCGATTCCATCTATTACTGAAGTTAGTTAATGAAATAGTATAATGTTGTAGCACGTAATCGGTGATGCACTCGGTGGCCATTCCGTTAAAATTATCGGCTGGGGCGTTGAAAATTCGATTTCTTATTGGCTAATTGTAAATTCTTGGAATGGAGAATGGGGCGAAAACGGTCAGAATTTTATTTATATTCTCTTGAAATTTAACAAATAAAAATAAATAATAAATACGAATTTTCTTATTATTGTATAATTCAACTCGAAACTAAAGGTGTGATGAAACGATATATTTGAATAATTGATTAATCTAGTATTCTCTTATCTAATTTAGGCTTATTCCGCATGTTGCGTGGAACGAATGAATGCGGAATCGAAGAAAATGTCGTAGCTGGTATCCCAGACTTTTCGAGATAGTGCAAAATTACGTCAACCATTTTCTCATTTATTCATGCAACAAAACGTGAATCGAAAATGAAAACGTCGATTACTTGTTGCGAATTTATTTCCTTTTATTCATTCAGAAAAAAATTTTGAATTATCTTCAACTGTCGTTAGTTTATTGAAATTACAGTTTCCCAGCATTCTCACTCGATTGTCTCCACCGTGCATTTCGACGAGGTCCCTTCGCCAGAGAATTAATCGAGTGCAAAAGATTTTATCTTGTTATCTACTTTATTTTCGCCTTAAATCTGCAGCATTTCATTTACATTTCAAATATTCATTTCAAATATTTACGAATTGTTCTTCTACGAATTTTAAATCAGTAATAAAGGTGTGAAAAAAAGTGGAAACTTTTAATAGAATTCTTTGCCAAATTATCTTATCAATATTATCAATAGATTTTTTAAAACTGTCTTTTCCCGCGAAATTTTCGCTAAGAGAGAAAAGAAATCATTTGTTGATATTTTATAATTAGTTTTGGCTTTCGAATTTGATTGAAAACGAATTTCCACCAAAAATTCATAATTTTTATGACTGATAAAATCGATCTCACAGATACCAAATTATGAAATTTTGCAAATAAAATTGATTCAAAGGTTAATAAGTTTTAATTTGATTCAAAGGTTAAAAGTTTCTTTTCATAAATAAATTTTTAAATTTTTCACAGTTTTATCGATATTTCTAAGTTTAAACTATAGGAAACCATGGGCTTGAATTTCATTGATGCTGGCATATAATTTTTTCAATCCATTCAAATGGCTACAAAGGCTAATCTGAGATATTTTAGCAAATTATTTTTCCCAAATTAAATATGTATTTCCCAAAAGAAGATTTGCGATCGTTTTGAAAAAAATTGCAAACTTCGGGGCATAATTTTCGAATTTTCGCAGAACAATTCGTTATTCGAAACATCGAAGTATTCACCGCACTTTCTTTAGATTTAAATTTTTTGGCAAAAATTCGCCATTGATTCATAATTTACGCACTAATGAAGAAAAAATGAAAAGTTGATTCTTTTAAATTCTAAAATATTACAAATATTAATTATTTTCACGATAAATATATATGTTTTCTTTGAATTAGCGAAATATTATTGATGACGAAAATATTAGAGCCAATAGTTTTTCAGTTTTTAAATTTTCAGTTTCATATTTTAGAATAATAGAAATTTTCGCAAAATTTTGAATAATTATTTATTATTTATCAAAAGAATAATCCACAATTGCTTTTGATTTTGCAATGATAAATTGAATGAATTTCAAGAAAATTTCGCTAATTATAATGAGAATCGTTGTTTTTCAACAAATAATTATACACCAAATATAATCCTTTTGAACGCACCATTTATATACATTTTTCCAACTTCCTTGAGCATAGAAGAGAGTTCACTTACCTGATTCAGCACCCTCTCAATTTCTTTTTTTAAAAACACTTGTTATTTCTGGTTTGGCTGATCCAACTAATTGCTACAGTGGGCATATTTGCAGTTTACCTCTCTCTAATCAAGTAATCAAAGCCATAATATTTAATCTTTGTCGAACCAAGCTACTCGATTGTTTCGATCCAAATATTGAAAAGTTTTGAATGAATTATGTAATCGGAACACCAGCTGATCAACTAAATTTAAGCAAATAGAAATTTGCAGAGATTATAATTTGAAGACATCGTTACAGTATTCAGTGTTCAGGCCAAAGCTAAGCAGATCAGTGTAAATTTCTTCAAAATCAGCTAAAAATATCTTTTGTTAGCAAATTTTCATCATTTATTCATAAATTCCATCAAATTTGAATTTATTCTAAATATTTAAATATTCTAAATAAAGTGGAGTGAATAGTTCGAAGTTGCAAATAACGAACAATTTTTCAAAACTTCTTTTGGAGAATTAATTGATTTGGGAAAAATAATTTGCCAAAATATTAGTTCAGATTACCCTTTGGAGCCATTCGACTAGTTCATTGATGAAAAATTCTTGATTATGTGATTGCTTAAAAGCATGGTTTTTGACCGGCCATTCAATAGTATTTTTGGATTGCTGACGTAATTGATAAAAAATGTCGCAACTATTTCGGTGTATTTCAAGCTGATCACTGATTATCATGTAAGATTATTCGAGCAAAAATTGCATTAAATCATCAATAGAGACTGATAAGAGATTTGGACCTATATAAAGGAAAATTCCAAGACGGTTCTATTATTTTTAAATTTTTTCTAAATTTTCCGCATATTCCACAGATGCTCACCTCGATCGGATATGTTTTATGTTTTTTGGCTCTTGCTATTTTTGCCAGAGATCCAATGTCAAAGTCGTCTCTGAAATTTCGCGCTGAGTAAGTCAAAATATTTTATCTTTGGCTTATTTTTATAAGATTTATTTAGAGCTTTCATCAATTGATGAAGCGAAGTTAATATACAACTCCAGCGGCAATCTCTGCCATTGTCAACGATAGACGTAGACGATAGAAATTTTCAGGAAAAAATTATGGGTTGAGAATGTGCAAGAAATTCGTGGCCGTAATCAAACAGATATCTATAGGATGATTAACACCATAAATAAGCAACAAAATTTGTGGAAAGTTAGTTTAGAAAAGTATTTATTTTCTCTATGCTTTAAAATTGCCCATCTTAGAAATGACTGTAGGCAAAAATAAAACAAAATAATCAATGATGTGAAACTCTAAAAAATTTGAATGTTCTTCTTCATGGAAATCAGTTCGTATATTTTGTAGGCGAAATTCAATCCAAGGATTGAATGGCTTTCTCATAACGAAAAAAGACAATATTATGGAGCAAGAAAAATGGACGACAATGAGCGAATGAAATTCGACCGGAATATAGCTAAATCCTCAAATTTTCTTTTCAATTTTTCATCAACTTTTGCTATTCCGAAGTATTTTGATTCGCGCGAACAATGGCCGCATTGTTTATCAATTCGTCGTATAAGTGATCAATCATCATGTGGTACTTTTAACATAGTTTTTTTTCTACTTAGGACAAATCTGAAATGGAATAAAGAAATTTCAAATGCAATAGGAATCGGGAATAGAACCGTCGAGTTCATGTTTTCATTTATGTTTTCACTCAGGGCGAGACACAGATTCGATTTTCCGCATCTCGACAGGAGTAATTTGTCATTAAAAACACAGGCAAGGATTCACCTGTGGCTTAATCTCACTGGTCATCTCATCTTCGTAATTAATCTTATTAGTGTTGCATTAGCCAAACTAGAAATTTTAATAGAAACAAAAAGAAGCTTAGATTTTGAGCATTTGGAAAGTAACTACGGTAATATGACGGAAATTTTTTCTATAGAAAATTATTTCAAGGTTCATGTTGGGCTTTCGCAGCAGCTGGAGCGATTTCTGATCGAATTTGCATTGCCTCACAAGGTCGCTTACAAGTTTCAATTTCCGCTTTGGATTTATTGAGTTGTTGCAAAGATTGTGGCAGAGGGTGAACTTTTTTAAAGCCTTTTGAATTTCAATTATTTATCTTATCTGATTGTTCGATTTATATGGCTTGCTTTGATATTTAAATTTTTTAGATGCGCGGGAGGCTTCCCGATTCGTGCTTGGATGCATTGGGTTTACCATGGAGTAGTCACAGGAGGCGATTTTAATGAAAAATTTGGATGTCAGCCGTATCCATTTCCACCGTGCGCCCATCAAAAAGATCATACTAATCAACTACCGCGTTGTTCAAAAATGCTTTACGCGACACCTCAGTGCATGCAGAAATGCAATAATAATTATTATAGTAAAGGCTATATACAAGATAAATACTATGGTAACGATTTGCCTTTAATTCTTAACGAATTAATTATGTACGAATTTCTAAATGACTTATAATTTAAAGAAAACCAAAACAAGATAGTTTTTAATTTTTTTCCACATTATAGGACAATTTGTTCATGTTATTAGCAACAACGTTAGAGCGATCCAGGAAGAAATAATGAGGAACGGTCCAGTAGAAGCTGTATTTAATGCTTTTTCCGATTTCGAAGCGTACCATAGTGGGATTTATAGGGTAAATGATTATCTGCGATAAAATCTTCAAAGGCCAAAAACTTCATTTTACTTCGATGTTCATTATTTTAGCATGTCTTTGGCAATTATCTTGGCGGTCATGCAGTGAAAATCATCGGATGGGGAGAGGAAAATTCCGTACCGTATTGGCTAGCAGCAAACTCATGGAACTCCGATTGGGGAGAAAATGGTTGGCATTAATAGAACTTTTTGTATTATACTTATACTTCTCGGAGAAATTACCTTAAATATTAATAAGTTTTAATGAGTATAACTTGGCCAAATTTCAGGATATTTTCGAATTTTACGGGGTGTTAATGAATGCGGTATTGAAACCGAAATTATCGCTGGCCTATCAAAATTTTAAAACATTTTTACACATATTATTGTATATTCTACAAAGTAGTATATATTTCATTATAAAATTTAGCTTTTAGTTAGGAATCGATATTGTTTAGTTGTTTTTTGAGCACAATTACTGATTAAGTTGTCTAGAGGAATGAGGCTTCTCCAATCTCCTCGGTTCGATGCCATATTTGAAAGAAATAATCACTTCTTTAAGGCCAAACGCCCATTTTCGACCTATATATAGTCCATTTTGTCCATTTTCTGTCAAATGCTCACAAGAAATTATTCGCTAAGTTCCAAAAGTAACAAAATTAGACTTTTCTTAAATCATTCCAGGAAAACAAGTAAATTAATAATTTTTGTGCAGTTTCCCATATTGTTTTTTATTTTTTGCGATTGTATTATTTATGCAAATTTAAAGAAAGAAAAGCAGGAATCAGAATGGCAAATACGCTGTAAAATTTGAATAAGACAGCAATAACATTGTGGAAGATACTAAATCATGAGCCACTCAATATTTTTTGACAATAGGATAATTATATTCTAAGCCGAATTAGCGGGGTTGAATGCGTATTATTTTCACTATTTCTCATCGGATTGGCCTCTGGCTCCTTGCAGGAATAAGGCTCCCATTGAAAATCCGATATGGATAAATATATTTTCATTCCAGCTTGGTAAAAATAGCTAATGAAGAAAAGCTAAACAAAAATGATGAGTGCTAATAAATTATTTTTTAATGGCACTCCTATAATCTCGAATTGTATGACTATAATATTCATTTTTCAAATGAACTAAGCTAAAGACAGATTAACTGGTTAATTTTTGAAGACCCTTCTTTAAGACCATATTCGATATTTTATCTAAAGCTTAGATTTTAGCATTTCAGAAAATTGCTGATTCTAATGCCATTAGAGAAGAAGAGCAAAAAGATTAAGATTATCGAGGATTAAACTTATAACAAATGAAATGAGCATAACTTTGAAAAGTTTAGAGAAAATTTCGAAAATAACAGTGCATAATATATAAGAAATGAGATTCATCATTACTGATTACTTGTTTGGATAATTGTTAGGAAAAGGTGCTTCACAATGCCGCTTAATGCCATACTTAAGAGGAGGAGTATCGACTCTTTTTCAATCGTTTAAGCTCACTGTTTGGTCTCTTATTGTTCCTCCATGCTTTTCAATAATGTGTTGTTAAGCAGATGATATTTAAGCGAAGATGGACACAGTTGTTCGAGGACTTATTCGTTCTGCGAGCACATAAAAACAAATACTATGAATTATCAAAGATAGGCCACTATCTTCCACTCTCCTTGATCATGCTTTAGCCGTAACAGCTGAGAGTCGTTCAAAATCTCGAAAATCAAAGTCCCGATTGATCAAAATGCCGAATTCGAAAAAATTGCAGAAACATCAGAAATCTTTTGATTTACCTAAATAGGAAAATTTCAGAAATTTCTTCATTTATAATTTTCCCAAAATTATATATTTTTTAGAAATATTTAGGAAAAATTGCAATTTAATGAAAATGGGTGATTTTTTTTCGGTTATTTCAATTCATCAGCTAAAAAATTTCATGCTGCGTGCATTTTTATATGCGTAGCTGGAAGAAAAAAAATAAATCAGAGAGTATATTATGCTTTTTGGAAAACTGCTGGCACGTTGAATTCGGTTTAGAATCTTTCAATTATCCATGCATAGGAACATTTTTTTGAAAGAATCCTCACCATTACTGGTTAAATTCGCTCCGTTGGCTTGTCGCATTAGACAAATATACCAGAAAGTTAAACCGCATAAAATCCATCACATTGGGAATATTTTATATTAAATACAGCTCTTTTCTTCAGTATAGTTTAATAATTTCTCAAATAATTGTGTATACCATTTCTCTTTTTGGCACCATTAATGTAGTGAATAGGTACTGGATTTATCAGAGCTTATTGTGGCATTTATACTTTATAACTGATGAAGAATTGAAGGCACCATTTTAAAAATTCCATTATCTCATAGCGTTAATTTTGCATGAAGTTTGCGATGAATATTAAAATTTCCGATTTTTTGTAATTCTTCGGTGAATTCCATCTCAGTCAATGCCCTTGGTAAATCGCTGAACTTATCGAACTCTTTGAATTTTCTACCGAATAAAGCACCATTCGATAATATGTAAGGGACAATGCGTGGTGAAAGTTTAAATCTAGCACTATGATTCTACAAGAGCTCTGGTACTCATTGCTCTCTTTCATCTCTTCGATACAATGGTAGAAATGGTGTGCAGAGGACGGCTGTGCTCCACAAATTCCGCTAAGGCAAACTTCATTTATAAACTTTTTTATTGCCTTTATAATCAGATTTTCTTTATTCATAGCAACAATAAAAATTATCACTTAAAATGGTTTCGTTCAACCAACGGAACCATTTAATTTATCAACCTTTTCGAAAAGCAACCCTTATTTCTTCCATTGCAAATTTGGGAAAAAAGGTGAAAAAGAATAAAATACAGTTGAATAAGAATTAGTTTGCCAATTAAATGATAAAGCGAATTTGAAGAAATTTTTTGATCAAAAATCTTTCCTCTCATAAAATAAGGCCATTCATAATAAAATAAAATGAACAATGAAAGGGAAATTCAATTAGCCGCATTATGATACGATAGGGAAAGAATTGTTAAAAATCCATATTAATGGATTTTTAGAATTTTCAAATCTAATAGAGTGAAAAACTATAGAAAAACTATAGAAACCTCAAGAAGAATTCAAGACATATCTGAAACTTTCTAGCCATAATGGAAGAAGTGCAATTTCTTAGCGATTCCATAGAGGTTTCGTCATTTAAAATAAGAGTGACTCCAAGATTTAAAACCTAGAATTTCCTCATTTCATAATAAATTAGTGGAAATATTTTGTCAGCACCTAGTATATAAGGGTAAATAAGAGTCTCATCTGATTGCAATAATCCTGATATTTGCCGATTATATTATTTAGCATCCCATGCATTTCTTGACTGTCAGTAAAAAGAACTAGTTCACCAGTTATCAGAGCATTCAAGATCTTCATTTCTACTTAGGCTTACTCCACTGGCTTATCAGACAAGTTTTGCCATGAAATTATTACAAGCCACATAGAAATAGTCAGGTGAGCCAGCGGTATCACTCAGATTTTTAAGGATGAGTTTATCCCTATTGTGAGTAGCAGGTCAACAGTTGCCTCTCGCCGCGATGATCTGAGCCTCTCTCCACTCGTTTATTTTACCCCACAGCTCGAAAATGATGGATTGTTAATTTTGTTGATTATCTGGTTAATTTGGCCAACCAACATAATATTTGTTCTTAGTCATTCTGGTGAATATTTATTGAATCCATGAAATCGGTAAGTCTTTATATGATTTCAGGTCTAATTAAAACTTTCATCCGGTCTATTCATCTATCTATTCAACCTAACCTAATTCTCATCAGTAATTATTTGTACATCATTAAATCCTCTTTCTTAATTGTATCGCGATTTATCCAAATGTAATCCAAAACACATCGTGCAAAATTGTGGTTTCCGCCTACTTTTTTATCTTTTAACCTTTTTCTATTTATCTTCAAATTGTCTAATAAAATTGTTTCATTGACTATATTCGCTCACTAAAAAGAAAAACATTTTTTCAAACTCCATTTTAAAAATTTTTAAACATAATTCTGGCAGTTGTTTGTTCCATTTCTACGAATTCTTCTAATAATCTCTAATTTGATTTTTGAATGCGACTGATCTCGACAAATTCGCAAACTTCATTAAAGTGTTTCCGAAGTGAAGGAACGATTGGTTAAAATTTTTTGCCGAGAGCACTAATCGAGATAAAATTATAAACACTATATTCTGGTGCTTGAATTCTTATCGGAAATATCGGAAATAGGCGAATTATGCAATAATTATATAGCTCGTTTTGCAAACTATTAGGTCATTGTCCGGGACGTTTATTTTTTTTCGATTCTTAGTTTCCTTTCATGCTGTTTTCTTTCAATTTCTGAAATTCAACTGAGAGTGGCTGGGTTTTTTGAATAGCTTAAATAGCTTTTTGAATAGCATAACCTAAATAAGTGATCCGAATAACAACATAAAATGCTGATAACTACTGATAACTAATAACTTACTATACTTCTTGCTAAAGCTCTTAGCAAATTGTTAAAAAAACTAGTATAAAACTAGTTGGATAAGGATGGGATGACATTTCTAATAGGGCCTATAAAACTACAGTTTGAATAATAGGAAATATCTGTTAGGCTTTAGTGAAAGCTGGTTGGGCTCGCCCCACTGGTTTGTCGAAAGATTTTGCCTAAGAGGTGAAACAACGGTAAATCGCAAGCATCACGCAGGTTTTTAAAGATAATTTCTTACTTCCGCTGGGGAACGCGGCATCGTCTGACAGCAAGCCATTCTAACTTTTCCGGACCATGGAAAGCTTGTCAGTCAGAGGAAAAAAGAAAAAGATTTTCAAAACTAAATTTGTTTTTCAGATGTTCTAATTCAAATTTCATAAAAGTTGGGAAGGTCGGCGAACCATCTAAATATTTCAATTCCTTATAGCCATTTGCATGCAATTGAATTCCATTCCAGCTATTTTCTATTATTTCTTTTACGATTTGCCATTCTAAAAATCTTAATTTCTCAATCGAACGAGGCGATGTTTAAAGTAATTGCAAATTATTGTCGACATAAATAGACGAAAAGGAAATCGCACCGAACCCATTATTTAACGTCCCGGGCATGCATATTTATGACAGTAAATTTGCCGTGATGCGTTGCACTTGTCTCCCTCCATGTTTTCCAAACTATTGTCGATACAAATTAAATTTTTCCTTTTGTTTGTGCTAAAATTTTCGAATCTCAGCCAATCATCAGCTGAAATTCAATGAAATGAAATTTTTACTGCTTTTTTCTTCACCAATTTTAGCTTGGCACGATCACAACCGAGTTGAAACTAGTATAAACTGCTATGTCATGCATTATTGATCGACTAGATTTGAATAACATAGATTTTATAATTGTTCCTCCTATATATAGTTTTCTAAGAGCGCACACCATTGCTGGTTAGTTTATCGCATTTTGCCAGGGAACCACTTGGTGATAGATGAGTCGCAGAATCATATAAAATGAAGCCAGTTTCATCCTGCTGGTGACAGAATCGGCGCTTCGAGGTGAGAAAAAAAAAACTAAAACTACCAATCCACTGAGCCATTTTGACTTCCTTTGCTTTCGCCGTTCGGCAACACTCTCAACAAAGATGGCAGCTGAACTTGAGTCGGAGCCATTCTCGCTAGCAATCATCTTGCCACTAAGTCACAAATTGTTTATTTAATATTAGCAATACAATAAACCTTTCTGAATAATACGCATTGTTAGGTATGACAAAAGAGGGTGTAAGGCAATAACTTGCGGTGAACGTAAATACTTGAATCTCAGATTTGCAAGGTTTACATTTATACAGTTGACAGTCACTAAAAAAATTGTCTGAGCAAAGTCTACAAAGTCGTTTAAAATAATTTGTTTAATTCAGTTTGTAATTTATTTGGCGAGCAAATATTATTGCAGAAAAAGCAATTCACTTGCTTAATTTGAAAATGCAATTGAAAACGTAGAAGTTTTTTCAAAGAAAAGTAATTAACGACGAATAATTAATGTCAAAAGTCAAAATATCATTTCCATTCATTATTTATTTTTATCTATTTTTTGACGTATAAATATAAATATAATTTTATTCGAGTGGAATACCACAGAACTTTTGCACGCCTTGCGGATGAGGAACCCTAGCGGATATCTTCCTGTGTTCCATGCATTCAGCTCTTCTAGAAATTTCACAGATTAATTTTGAAATTAGTCGCATGCGAGGAGTCGCACTCGTCCCGTTTTTTAGAAAGCCATTTCCGAATTCTTTAAATACATAACAGTGCGAATAAAGCATGTTTAGATTACCTAAAAATATAAATTCCATTATTTTTTATGAACTATCAAATTAAAAATGTATAAAATAAGCTTTTCCTGCAATCGCTTTAGTAATGTGAAAATTATCAAATAAAACAATTAATTCGAAAACGAGCGATTGAATCGAAAAAGATAAAAATCATTTAAAAAATATTTTGATTGCCAGTTTGACGAATTAATTTAAACTTTAAACGAATTTTATGTAAAAATTCATTTAATCAACAACTGATTTTCGAATTAATGAGTTTTTCTTTCAGAAAGGTTAAATGTGTTCAATGTGGTCAGCCAGGTTTCCAAATTTCCAGAAAAATATTTTAGAAATAGAAAAATTCAAATAAACGAAGGTTTAGGGGAGACAATTTTCTAGAGAATTAGCTGTTTGTCCTTTTTTTTTTTTTTTTTTGGGGAGGGGGGAGGGAGAGAGACAGAATGGCTCAGTGGATCGTTGCTCAATTGTCCATAGAATGTTTAAATTTGTTTCATACTTTTCTTGATTGATGATTTATGCGAGAAGAACGCAGAATTGCACAACGAACGTGCGGTCAACATGGACAAATTCTATAGGCAATTGAACGAATCGGAAAATATGGAGAAATAAAAATGTTTTTTCAGTAAATTTCGAGAGCTTTTCAGTAAGCGAATTTCTCTAAGAAATTTCTTCCTTATGTTTTTTTATTGGATCAATTGCAATTATTTAAATTAACAAAATTCTTCTTCAATGATCATTTACGGAATCAATTAACGCTAATCGAATAAATTGTGATCCTCAATACTGTTTTAAAATGAAAAACTAATTTATAGAAAAATGAAATCAATGAAGGCCATTCGCCATTCGCTGCAGTCATAGCAGTCATAGCCTTGATTTCGTACTCTGATTTTGCATCAATAATTCAAATTCGACTTAATAAATTCCATCTAAGATCCAGTGGGATTGGTGCCCAATAATTTAGGCCTACCCCCTAAGGAAGTCACTAGAGAGTCATCTGAAGCACGATTCGTGGCCAGCCAGCATCATCTCCGGATCATCTTTTAGCAAGAACTTTAACCTGTTGGGGCCAAGAACTGAGCCCTAACACCAATATGGTAATATGAATCACTCCATTCGATTTTTCTACCACCAAAGAAACGCTTATACTGATTATTGATTCATTTATACAAATGTTTATAAATAAATAAAGATCAAAGGTAACAGTTTTATAATCATGAAATTATTAATGCATTGAATTAATTTGGCTGATTCGGTTAGTTTGTCGAAAATTATTTGAATAAATGGGTGAATCGTAGGGCTCAGTGCGATGGCTCTCCTTTCGGAGCGGCAATCTGGGACTCTTCTCCAAGTAAGTCCTCACCATTACTAGTTAAACTCGCTCCGCTGGCTTGCTGCAGGGAGTCGCTTGGCGATAGAAGCACAGGTGAGTCACCCAGATTACTCCTGCGGAGAATAAAACCTCAGCGTCTGCGCTCCAATGAATTGAGCAACAATCCACTAAGCCATTCTATTCCCTTCTCCCAGCAAAGTGCAAATATTTTTTCAAAAATCCAAGTGATGCTGGCGACTCACCTGCTTCTACCGTCAGCGCTAAAATTCGTCAGTCCGAGGACGAATCTAACCAGAAATCTCTTTTAAAAAAGATTCCATCGAACTATTAAATAACTGTCCATCCGTTGATTCATAAAATAATGAAAATTTTTTTGGACACTTTTTATTAGAAAACATTATAAAAGGCAAACGCAAGGCTCTCGTTTCGTCATTTATATTTTTTTTGTCCTTCTCAAGATTCAACGAAATTTTTTGCTTTATTTATAATGCTAAAAGCTTATTTTCCTATTATACATTCACTTGACAATGATTTTCTTCTTCCTTTTCTTCCCACAACAATCACCAATCTTGGTTTGGCTGGCTGCACTGATTATTAGCGTATAACAGATTGAACATAAATGGAGACTGGAAAGAAAGCATGAACGGGCCCCCATTTGGCCCCATTTTTCATGACAGGCTTACTTCATATCCTTAGATTCATAATGTCTGTATCTATGCTTATTTTTATTAATTCTTACAGTGGACTTAATTGTGCCCGGCGGGCCTCGAGTTTTTAATATTTTGCTCTGAATAAAGAGTTTTCGAATCTTCTATAATTATGAAACGACGCATGATAAATACTGGCACTTTCCTGGTGCTTTGCCACTATAAAACTTCAAAAAAATTTATTTTCATTACTTTACTCGAATACTTTCTTTCCATATGAAAACATTATGTGCCTTCATCAACAATTTAGAAAAACAATACATCATCGCTTCGTGGCTGTTACTCCCGACCTTTGTCTTATCTTTATCTACCTCGCTTCACGACTTGGTTCCATCACCACTTGTGACCCACAAGTACCAAGCTAATCGTTTCACCTTTAATCTTTTGGAAAATTCATTAGAAACGAATTATTAAAAGTGAGAAAACTGTAAATAGAAAACAGTTATCGTAAATAAATGGTGAAACACAGGTACTTCAATCTTTAAACAGATACTGACTAAGCCTTTCACAATCAACGAAGTGAAAACAACCCTATTTGGAAAAAAATTCCTTGTCTCTTCATTTCACAACATTAAAAGGTAGGAGAGCCGAGTGGACCCAGTAGTAGTGCGGTGACAAGAAGAAATAGAAGAAATAGAGGTCCTCCTCCTAACAGAATAAAGCCTGCTATTAAGACATTCGAGAGGCGTTAGCCCCTGCCCTCGCGCAAAAAAAACCCCAGACCTTATTATTATCAACCGAAACCAGATCAACCTGGCGAGAAAAAAACACTAATACACTGCTACACCTTAGAGATAAGAATAAGGCAAAGCCGCTTTTTAGTGGATCCGCCAAGTACTTCTAATAATCAGCCGGCTGCATTTCTCAAATTATCTTTTCAATTTTGTATTTAAAAATTTGATTTACGATTTTCACTATGTATTAAAAGAAAATTTTAGGTTATTGATTGCTTCAAATTCATTCACTTAAAAAAATACTGCAAAAAATGGACCATCGGGGTTGTGCATTCTTATAAATAGCCGTTCAGCGTTCGATTATATTCGTTGTTCATGGAAATGAAATCGATGGCTGCGTTGTGCAGCGGCAGTGGTTCCTTGGCAAACTCGGGTACCACACTGCTGATTTGTGGTTCTTCCGAAGAATGCCACTTCGCGTCTTTTAATTAAACTTTAATTAATTAAACTTTATCACCACCTTAGTTTTGTTGTTGAAGTCGCCCCGACTAGTTTCTTTTTGTTTTCCATATTTATATCATTCTACGTATGGCAGATTAATTTCATGTGAATTGAATTTATGGTTAATTTGTTCATCAAAATTCTTTAGGAAATGTGTCTTAGCAGAAAATTTTCAGGTTAAATTGGATTTTATTCAATGAAGAAAAATATGATTAATGGCGAAGCAAAAAGGAAAATGGTTCATTTTTAGTAAAATATTTTAATTTTTTGCAAGATTTAGGCTATTATATAAATTTTAATGTTAATTTTATAGTTGTAAACTTTAATTTTAGGAATCTCGCGAATTTTTTTTTAGTCTCTGCTTTGCGACAAAGACTACGACCCGGTGACATTCGATGTGCTTAAGGTGAAATTCACGGATTTTGCAAGTCAGATAACAATTGTGGATGTTGCATTGTTCAAAGCCATTTCAGCACAAGTAATCGCCCCATTTTTGTAATATTTTAATTCTATATTGCAATTTTGCAATAATATTTACTGTTAGTTATTTATTAGTTATTATTTTATGGAATATTAATTAATCGATAAGCGACTGTTTTAATTTAGGAATTAAAATCTTGTGCTTGGACTGGCAAAATTAAACATGTGGCCGCACCAAATATTATAAAATTTACGGGTCGTTTTAATTCAATATGTTTGTGGTGTCAACGAGAAGTTTTGTTATGTAAAAATTTGTCAAAACGTGCCCAAATAATCGAGCATTTTATTTTGATAGCTAATGTAATTAATGATAATTTTTTCTGTTTTTTCTTAACTTTTATGCAATCGCAGTTGCCAGTTTTAACTTTGTCGCATTATTTTTACTTTATATTTGGTTATATTTGGTTATAGCTATATTGTTTAATTAATAGTTAATGAAGCCAACTAAATCTTTCATTGAAACTATACATATCGGTTTCATAATTTTAATCTTATGGAAAAATTCATGATGTTTATCCCAGCTCATTTGTTTTGCATTAGGAGAGTGGTTATGGTCAATAAATGATAGATAAAGAAATATCAAATGCCAGGTAGCCGGAGATATTAAGGGATTATGCTTCAGTCCTCGTCCTCCCGTCCTAAACCAAAAGAACACTTTTCTCTAGTCAATGGAAATTTTGTTTTTATAAACTTTCTATAGTTTTTTTCAACTTTCAGCAGTTAACAAATATGAACAATTTACATTCGACGTTTGCAATTTTTAGTGCCTTGCAAAGTCAGCCCATTCATCGTTTATCAAAAACGTGGAACGTAAGCGTATTAATTTTTTCTTTTTCTGCCTTGTTCATATTTCTAGGCGACGTTGTGATATATGTTTAGTATATCATGTTTTTCTACCTTATGTTGGCAGCGATATCAACCATTAAATATAAGATTCAAATGATGCTGGGCTCGCAACTTTTAGGAAAAATAAAGATTGACGGATCACTTTATTAATTTTTTTGAAGTGTGCTCACTGTTTCTCATTGGGCTGGCTCTGCTGACTTGTCCAGGCAGGATTCACCCACATAGAAACATAGATGATTTATTATTGTTAGAGATTTGGGGAAAATGGTTTACTTCTGCAGGAATGATGCATCGGCGCTACGATATTATAAATGATATAACACTGGACTATTCTACTAAATTTGACTCTACTATTTTTTAGTCGATTTTTATCGACAAAAATCTCGAAATTAATATTTTTTACTTCATTATATCAAAAAAATGCAATTACAGTTGGTAGCTCGTCGGTATCGATTATTACTTCTTAAAATGAGTCACTTGTTTGATAGCGAACGAAATTGGGAGCATCTTCGCTCATATCTTGATAACGTTTCACTTCCTTGTATACCTTATCTTGGTACGATTTTTTAAATAAATTTTATGGTTTGTTTATTCTTATTCGCTTTAAAAATATTTCAGATTCTAAGTTTGTTAAATTTCAGGGATATTTCTCACTGATCTAAGTTTTGTTGAAGTGGCTCATAAGAACAGTTGTTTAGAATTAGGTTCTGTTGAACATAAAAAAGATGGTATTTTACGGAAGATTTCACGTTTTCAACTTTCGCAATATGGTATTCTTTGTCTCCCACTTTTCCTTTTTTTCCTCTTATTTCCCTCTAAATTTCCATTTTAGAAAATATTATACTCGTCCCATGTATTCAGAAATATCTTGATACATTCCGTTTTCATGAAGAACTATCGAAATTGGTGGAAGACGATTTATACAAGTAATTTTTTTATAAAATTAGTCGACAATCAAGTGTTTTTGTAGGTTATTTGTGGGCGAAAATCTGCCATTAAAGGTGAAATCTAGTTGTTTCTACTTCTCAAGTTGCTTACAGATATTAATCTCTTAGTCAAACCAGAAATGATGTATGTTGTGAGGTAAAAAATAGGAAGTAAAGGGGAGGATCTTTAGAAGAGGGAGAGGAATTTATAAATCTATTTCGAGGAAATATTTATAACAAATAGTTTGTCCTTATTGAAAGATTAAGTAACTGCTGAAAAAGGAGTCTTTTGATACCGAGATTTCAGATGATAAGGTCATAATGCAATAATTTTTAACATATATTTAGAGCAAGTTATTCCAGAATTAATATTATTTTTAGAGAATCATTGCTTCGCGAGCCAGCTTCTTTTCCTGTTGAATGCTTCAGCTCCAGGCAATCGCGAAGCTCATCGCTGACGCGAAAATTGACTAGAGTATCGCGTTTTTTGAACCATAATATATGTGATATATCTCATAGATCACAAACGTCCACTCCTAGATTGAAACATTTTGATCGCCGTTCGCGCCTTAGTCTACAACCACATCAAAATTTGATTGGAAGCCTTGAACTTGAGTAAGTTCTTATCGTTTTTTATTTTAAATTTTAATTTATATAACTTTAGAAACTGTTACTATTACTTTGTTTATAATGGAAAAGGTAATATTAATCGGTTGTCATAAATATTACTTATGATTTATTAAAAAATAAAATCGTACTTTCAAAAGTGCTTTTTAAAATGGTTTTTAAATAAATTGATGAAATTTAAATCATAGTTCGAATATTTTGCAGATTAAAAAATGAATTGTATGTCTCAAGTTCTTATGAATATAATTCGAAACATGCATCTACATTTAGCAGTGAATTCTTCATTTTATCCTAAATTTAATTATTTTACTTAATTCCTTTTGTTTTTGCGAAGACAATTTAATAATATTAATAATAATAAAAATTAATATTAAAAATATAATAAAATTATAATAGTGAGTAGTAAAGTTTAAATAGTCTTTTGTCGTTTTTTATATAATTTATAAAATTCTTTTGATTATTAAAAATTTGTTTTTCATTTAAGATAGTGCCAGTTCACCTGTAAAATCGATGAGCGTTGGCTTCGAAAGATTTTTAGGTGTGGGTTCATACTTTTCTCCAAGAAAGTTCAGTCCATCTTTATCTTTGCGATGTACTAGTTTGAAGGAAAACTTGAAGTTATTATTTCGATTTTTATTCAGTTTCCTGCTTGTGCCGGCTTCCAATTTCTTTTCACTTTTTTAATCAAAAGAAATTTTATAGTTTCAAACTTTTCTGATATTTATTTGATTTTCAAGAAAAGTTACATGATAATAATGAATGTTATGTTAAAAAATTGTTTTTTTTTATTAAAAACTAATGTACAAGCAGTTTTTTTTGCAATTCTTTGTTTTATTTTAAATTTTCTTTTAATTTAATTCGCTATTTTAATTCAGCAGACCTTTGAAAGTTGCTGATGAGGATAAAGATGCTCTACTAGAAGGTGAGATTGGCATGAGGCCTGATTATGAAGGTGAAGTGAAAAGGGCGATTGTACGGATTCGTGGGAGCAAGCAAGCTATGGTTTATATTTTGGGATTTAATAACTGCGATTCATTTTTGTTCTTTATTATAAACTAATTTCAAAGTATTCAAAAATCATTCAGAAAAATTAGAAAATCTCTTATTATCATTGTATATTATTGTTAATTTTAGTTTCCCTTATTTCATTCCTCATCATTTAACAGATAATTCAACAGTACAGTGCATTTTTAGATCCATTGCATTCAGAAGTGTTATCTAGAGTTACGTTCCAACATTTTGCATCAATTTCATAGGAGAACTGTTACAGTTCAGTGTAAGCATGCCAGAGATTTGTACAAACGGAATGCAAGCAAGCTAATGACAATTGGACAGGATGATTGGCGAATTATTCGTAACAGAAATGTTGAAGAGCCATCGTTTGAATTGCATCATCCAACTACCGGTATTTTATTTCTTTAACAATTATTTTCTTTAAAATTCATTATTATATTATATTCTTATTATATATACTTTTCTTATTTCGAATCTGAAATCATTTTATGACAATTGGCAATAAAATTTATTCGTTTTTGAAGAAGATTGCATTAATATAAAATTCAGTCAGTCGATTGTGAATTCGACATAAATAACGGAGGAACGTCAAATGAAAAGTCGTAAATATTAAATAGATTATTATTGGATTAACTGAACGAATGATAAAGAAATGCAATGAAAAGAAAAAATATATATATAAATAAATTTATACATAGAATCTTATTATGTGAAAATAATCATCAATAATCATTATATAAATATAATCATCAATAGTTATCATTAGAACTTATTTATGATGCGATAGAAAAGTTTTATGCAAAATGTAAAAATAATGAAGATTAAATTTTTTTCAGGTCGGATTTATCGTTATATCTGTATTTCACATGCCATCGCTGAAGAATGGTACTCTAAATTGCTAAATGCAGTGAATGTAAACTGTGGAAGACCTAATTCTAATTTAATATGTTTCGATTGAGATTTTTTATGCCGAAATTGCAACAGTTTAGCTCTAGATTATATGCAATCAAATTTTTATTTTATTTTTCTTGGTGGTACGGACTGGAACTTAAATATAAAATTTCTCAAAGTCCCAAGCATAGAATAAACATTAATCATTCTTTAGGAAAGAATCACTGTTGTAAGTCATTATAAATTAATATGTAATATCAAGTTGTTTCTCATTTTTTCGTCTTATTAATGTGCCAGTTTGAATCAACAAACGTTATCGGTTTTTGTAACAGGTTATCCGATCTCTTTTTTCTTATTTGTCATTTAGATTTGTTGTAGGTTTCAGGTAATTAATCTTGCTTCCTCCACTTTTTTATGGTCTATTTTCGAGTATTATTTTTTAAATATAATGGAAAAAAGTTTGCTTATAATTATGATTTAATCACCTTACTTTATCCTCTTGTTTAATCATTTTTTATATCCAAAGATTTTTTTGCATGGTAATTATCAATGATCCAATCACTTTCTGATGAATGGATTCGTCGTTTACTTATTTATTTTTCTCATTTTTTCCCTATGTCTGAGAGTTTCCATGTTTTTTTTTCTTTTTTCGATAAAAAATCGAATAAATTTGTGAATATTTACTAAATTGTTAAATTTTTCAAAGCGTTTACATTATAAAAAGTTTCTCAAATTTTTTGAGTATCAATTTATTTTCATTATTAAATCGTTTAAAAGAAATTTTTCGGTGGTATATTTTGACCTCAAAAATAAACAATGTACCATAAATAAGCAAAAAAAGCCTGAAAGTTATTAAAGAAATTCGGAATAACAAGTAAAAATCATTGATTTTTCCTCGTTTCAGTAATGCCGTCATTCCTATTCACTTTTGTGGATTAAATCCAGCTGCTTTAAGAATTGAATGGGTTTTTCACTCTCTATTTTCCTTTTAGGAACATTTTTTATTACGAAATATGCAAAAGATTACTTTCAGACGGTCTTTAAAATTTGCAAAAGTCATGGTTGTCAAGTTTACTTCAGCTGTCGTCACTCCTCCGGCATTAATATATATGGGAGTTGATAAACATGAAAATGAATCTCTCATAAGGTTTGTTAGATTAAATTCTTCTTTTTGTATCATTTTTCGGTAACTTATTTGTTTATCTACTTATTTGAATTTAAATTTTTTATAAATTTTAGATGGGGTTGGCCAGAAGATGTTTGGTTTCACGTTGATAAACTTTCATCAGCGCATGTATACTTAAGGTTATCGCCTAATATGACAATAGACACTATTCCTACTGAATTATTGGAAGATTGCGCACAACTGGTTAAAGCAAATAGTATTCAAGTAATTTTTTTACTATTATTTCTTAATTTCAAGTATGAATGAATGCATGGACTTGAGAATATTTCAATTGAGGCTTACTGATAAGGCTTTTTTTTATCAATTGGTGACCTTTAAATAATGTTGGTGATATTTTTTTGTTATTTCGATTAATTTATTTATTTATTCTATTTTCTATTAATTATTGAAAATATGATGGAATATATTTAATGTGGTGACTATATTTTTAAATAAGAATGCCGAATAATATAAATTGTAGCATCTTTTTTTTATTTCAATTTTGGTACATTTGATTGGTGCATTAATTTTTTTTTCGGTAAAAATTGTTTAAATTTTTAGTCCCTCGATTTTAATATATTAATGTTTAAAAAATTAAAATTTAAAAAATTGTTTAAAAAATTGTATTACGAGGACGAGTTTGGTAACATTATAAAATCTTAAGGGTCATAAAACGAACTCAGTGGATGTCATATATACTCCATGGGAAAATTTATTGAAAACAGGAGATATGGTGACTGGACAAGTTGGATTCAAAGACGATAAGAAAGTACTTAAAGTAAATTGGTTAAATTTTTTATTTATTAAAATTCTATTATTAGATTCGAGTTTTTATTTATTTATTTTATTTACTTTTTTATTTATTTTTATTTACGATTTACTTTAACCAGACGAAATATATCGATGATTTTATATATTTTATATTTTTTATATTTTTGGATTACCATTATTAGATTAAATCTGTAAAACGAATAAATGCAATTGTGAATCGATTGAATAAAACTGAAAAACGAGAAGATATTGACTATCGAAAGGAAAGAGAGGACCGTGATGCGAGGGAAAGGCAGATTTCTGTAAATTATTTGATAATTGATAATTTTTCTGATAAATGTGATTTCTTTCTTTCAGTATTTTTATACTTACAAACATATTAATCAAATATTATCTCATTGCTTATCATCAGTTTACTTTTTCAGAAGGAGCAGGAACGACAAAAGAAAAAAGAATATATGGAAGAGTTGCAGCAGCGAGAAAATGAACGGAGAATTCATTCATATGAAGATGTATTTACCGAAGAAAATCTGCGTGCTAATATGGATCAAGGAAATGATTCTGATGATTTTATGTGATAAATAATCAGATTCCCCATTCATCCTCTCAAGGTTCAGCACATTTATGTTTCATTTCAGATAGATCATAAGCATCTTATTAATTACTCTTGGTATTTGCTTTAGATTTTTTTAAATTTTTTCGATTTTATTTATTTGCATTGATTAGTGTTAAAGTCAATGGAACAGATCATTATTTCACTCTTTATTTTTTCTGGCTATTTTTTTTAAATCTTATCTTGAAATCTTAATTCTTCTTGATCTTATCGGAATGCATGTGTTTATATAGAGCGATATTTTTAACCTTATCAATTAAGAAAGTAATTGGTTAGCGCCACCATTTCTGCTTACTTAAGCGACTGCTACTGTGATAAATTTTTGCTAGGGAATTATTTGACGATAGAAGTATGGATGGGCCACTTTCGATTTTTTTAATTGCCGGTTTACTTTTGCTGGAGGGTGGGTTCGAACTCTGACGCTGAAGGCACTCTAAGCGTCAACCATTTGGATATCTTATAATTTTGGTATATTTCTTATGAATTTTTTTTTCTAAAATTGGAATATATGGAATATTGAGAAAAATAATCAGTTGCATTTGCATTACTGGATTAGCTTTGTTCAATCGAAATTTATCAATCATTTGGTTTATTTTGCCAGTTTTCGTCATATTCTTTGTTACATAAAATGGTTAAAGAGGACATTTTGATGATTGGTTCGAATATCTTCAATTCATTCTATCCGGGCTTAATTCGTGTTCAATTTTATCATCACAAAAAATACCCAAGCGAGTAAAGGATTTATACTCAATGCATAGAATCCGAAAAATTACATAAAATATATCACGATAGCACCTAAAGCTCATTTATTACTTATTACGACAAAATCGATCGCCAGATATGTTGGATAATATTTGGCATTGGTCATAAATAATAATTTCTTAATAATATGGATGAATTCGAAAGGTAAATGTTAAGTTGGAAAATAATCCAAGGACGAAAATGAAGAAGAAAGGTGTTCTTCATTGATCCTATTATATCTTGATCTGTTTATTTGAAAATTAAATACTTATATCTTGGAAATTAATAATTTTACATTTTATCAATAAGTTCCAACCAAATACGAAGGGGTGGCTGAATGAATATCAAAATTCGGATTGTTTATAAAGCTAATCGGATGCATTTGTTCATTTTTGTATTTTCTAATTTTGATATCTAATTTTCCATCAAATTAGTCTAATCTTCTATAAAAAATCATATAAATCATAAAAATTCACGATTTCTTCAACATCAAAAATATAGTAAGTTTTATAAATAAACTTTTATTTTAAATAAATTTTATAAACGATGATTATCATATTTACAAGCTCTCTTATTTTATTTTTATATATTTTTATAATTTTTTATACGATACGACACCTATAAATATAAAAAGCTAAAAGCTAATATAAAAATTCTTATGAATAGCTCACCGAATTCTTTTAGACAAGTTGCACCCATGTAGAGATCAACTATCAGCCTAAGATTGGATAAACACTGGGTGACTGGTAAATAGAGATTTGATCTTTAGAAATAGATTAAAATATATATGGCCAGAGAGCCAAAATTCTTCAGACTACATAAAACAAATGAAAAATTATAAATGATTCTATTGAGCGCTATCTAATATGATGTCTTACAAACTGACTTCATCGATGTCGATGAAAAATTCGAATAGAATGTTTGAAAAACTAGCAGAATTTCAACTAGCATGAAATTTCAGGCACTTCAGAAACTTTCCTAATGATCGGAACGGTACTTGAGGATGGTTTTGATGATTTTAAACTGATCGAAGATGATTCGTTATGCGTGGATCCTCGATGCACTTGAAGTGTACGTGATTGGCAGAAACCTTTATGGCAAATTTCACATTTGAAAGGCTTTTCCTTGGAATGGATGAATCTTAAAACTCCTTTTAAATGGAATTTTTCGTTCTATCAAAAAATCCTTGATTATTGATTATTTCAATGTTATTTATGTCTTCTTTAATAAAAAAACATAAAAAAGTTTTGTCTTAGTGGTTTAATTGAAATAAGCGAATAAAAATTAACAAAACGAAAAGTTTAACTGTGTAAACTGCAAATTTTTACTTATTGTGAAGTATTTATTGATATTCATCCGTAAATTCCCTTCTTGATAAGAGGGAAATTTGTTGGAAATCTATTGCAGATTTGCAACCCTTTATCAGCCTTCTAACTGAGTTAAAAAAGCGAAATATCTTAAGTTGCTGTCAAAAGAACAGGATCAGACCACCTTTCTAATAATATATCCTATTTCATGCAGATTTATTCTTAAATATCTTTCTTTTAGACTCTACTAGTTGTATAGTTTTGTGGAAGCATTTTAAGCTAAAATATAAAGCTATACCGATGATCCCGAAGATGGTCCTGACGACGAAATGCTTTCCCACAAATATCACATACGTAAGGCCGCTCATCCGTGTGTGTCCGTTCATGAATTAATAGATTATAAGATTTTGTAAAATGACGCTTACAGAATTTACAAATAAATTCCTTTTTTGGACGAGGAGGTCGACAGCCACCACGTTTTGATTTGAGGAACCTTTAAAATTTTTTTTCAAATGTAAAAACTTTAAGGTAATTAATCTAAGGTATTGTAGCATCATATTCTATTGTATTTCCAAATACTTTCAGTAGGTATTGTAACCTTTAGGATATTCTTATATAAAAGATATAAAAGATTTATTTGACCTAGTCAGCCAAGCCAAGGCAGTCCTGTCTCCTTCCACCTTTTATTATTACTTCTCTTGCAAAAAGTCACTTCGTTCTTATTGTGTCACTTTAATAAATAAATAAAAAGTCAATCAACATCATTATTAGCTGATCGATGCAGACAAATTCATCAAGGAAAATGCGCATTCTCCATTGTAAAATTATTACCAAGGCTCATGTGTCGAATAAATCATTGAGATTGAAGTAGATGCGCCGGCCAGTTGTTTGCTTTCTGGTATCTGATCCTTCAGCTAAATTTAACACTTTTAGATAGCCATTAAGATGGATTATTAAAATGCTTGGAAAAATTTATACAGAAACTTTTTGCTTAATAATGGAATATCTGAATAACTGTACCGATTCTTCATCCTTTATACTTTTTCCAAGCTGCTTAAAATCAAATTTCGGTGGATTGCTTGAGTATGATGAACTTTTCGTATCACTAGTTTCCTCCTTCATTCTTCCATTATTAAAAGAAAAACTATTTCTAATATTTTGGCCCTTCAATCGCTAAAATTTGAAAGTAAGTCATTTAAACATATTTTTCACATATTTATGCTCATGTTTGCTTTGTTATAATTCAGATGAATCAATTTGGAATTTGTAGAAAATCATCCAAATGTGATTCTAAAGTAATGCCTGATTATGAAATCTACCCAGATGTGATTTTTCTTTATTATGCACATATGGCGTGAAATCGAGAGGCATATTTCAGCTTGAGGAGCCGAGTTTCAACTCGGTACTCCAAAATACTTTCGATTATTAATTTTCAATAAAATAAATCAGAAAAAATCCTTACTGTTGAAATAGCTACAGGCCTAATGCCAAAAGATTTTTCAAAATACGGTTGAATATCGCCTAAAGTTGTCAAAAATCCCATAAAAGCACCTGAGATTGTAGAGAGAAGAAAAACATCTGCTGATAGGTTTGGCAGTAACGAACCCACTGTTCATAAGTATTTTGGGAGGGAAATATAGTCGGTATATGTGAGGTTTGAAGTGTTGTCGAATTCGATGGTCGAATAACTGCAGGAAAGTGCGTTGTTGGTTGAATTAAATGGGTATCACTGGATGGTTGCAACATTTGTGCCGGTATGCACTGATATTTTACAAAAAATGTTGCAAAACCTGCAAAATACAACTTTTAAACGAAACTATTGATTTAAGATTTTCTTACTTTACATTAGTATCGCTTAAAATAAAATTGATCAAAATTCATAAAGCCAATGTTCCGAACATGCAAAAAGAAAAAACCATAATGTGGACACTGCAAGTTAGTAATGGAACAAATAATTATTTGTAATAATCTGTAATGAAACAAGAATTTCGACAAAAAATTATTTCTAATTACATTTTTCTATTTCTAAGTATAAAATCACGAATAAATAATGGATTATCCCTTTCCCTTGGAAAATCTTTCTTCCCAGAAAAAAGAAGAAATAAAAAAAGAGAAAATTTAATAAGATCAAACAATTTAGCATCGATTTTTCAGGCTAAACTAACTATTCTAAAGATGGAATATAAAAAAGCTGGGAATACGTCTTTTCATAAGTAATAAAAGCTGACACATTCTTCTATAGCAAACAAGGTAGCAGCGATTAACATCAAATAGTTCCGCTTTGTTGTGGTCGAAAATAATTTTCATTTTTTTCCAAATTTTCAACAACAATTTTTTCGATTCGGAACTAATACATTTAAATGAAAAAAGGTCGAGTGGCAAGTTCTCAAGTACCATGGCTTTGGTGCTTGCCAATAGAGTCAATAATGTCATTAGATATGAAATATCTTCTATTTGAGATGAAATTCTGTTAAAATAAATATGAAATCTGGGTGCATTAGATGAGGATCTCGTTAAAAATGGTCATAGTCATTAATTTTTATGTTGAAAATTATCACAGTCCATCGATTGTTTACGAAAATATTTTCTAAGCAATTGGAGCACGAAATTTAAGTTTTAGAATGCTACTTCACCAGTATTACTGTTTTATCGCTTCAGGGCAGTATGGTCTATTTCTTAGACTATCAGTAAGAGCTCTTCCCGTTCCTTGGTTTAAAAGGTTTGGCACCTCATCTTAATAATTTTCTTAATAATAAAGATAAAATCAACTTTAAAAATTAAATTAGAGGACATCTATAACTGCCTCTCTGATTTTTTGACTAAAGGATTTTATCATAACAGCCAATGAAGGGAGGTTGATCGGTTCTAATGCGGGAAAAACCTTTTTCTATACTATAAAGCTGAAATTTCTATGATGATGAAGCTTTTCGACAATCCAGGATTAACTTCAGTTGTTCACCGTAAAGACTTGAAAAAAAAATTTTTTTCTTAGTGCAAGGTGCATACTCGCATGGAAATGTTGAGAGCAAGAAGCTATATTAATATGCATAAAATGATTTGGTCAAATATAAATTAGACACTTGCTTTTTTACCAGTTTCAAATCAAAATTATGAATCGTTTCTACTAAAAAACGATTTAAATATTTATGACTTTCGTCGGTCTCTTTTGATATATGTTTTTTCTCATTCATATAGGTTTACAAATGTTTTTTGACAAAAAAATATTACAATTAAACTGCTTCTGATTCAATCAAAAGGAGAAGATGAATGAAAATGCCGACAAATGTTGATAAATTGAAAACTTAATAATACAAAAATCATTGAAAGGTGAGTGCCAAAAGTTAAAAATTGACCAATCTTTCGTCACATAAAATTTATAAATTTTAATAAACTGACAAAACGATGGCGATGAGAAAAGCAGGTAGCTGAGCTGATAAAATAGATATTAAATAGGTTGATGAATAAAAAATTGGAACTGCAGAAGCATTCGAATTTCCCTTTATATCAAATCCTTTTTCTAACAGTAATTTGAATATTCCCCCTGAATTAGACAACGAGAGATTATGCTACGAGAGATTTAGACAAAAAACCAATTGGGGATAGAACTTCTGATGGTTGTGTGACACCATTCGAATACATCTTTTAATGACAAATTTGGGAGAAATTGAACCTAACATGGCTTGATTTCACTGTAAAACAAACTGCTCAATAAACTACTCGACCGTCCAATTTCCAATCGATCTATTATAATGAATCCATTTCTCAAAAACGCGTTTTTTCGCAATTTTTTCTCATTTTCAGTATTTAACTTATTTTTTCGTTATTTTATAAATATTATTATTAAATTTTAAATGATATTATCAAATTTTTTTTACCAATCTTTTCTGCATCGAGAAATTTGTTAAAGATTTTTTTTTAATGGATGATTCAAACTCTAAAGAATTATTTAAATAGTGATTCATTAACGACTTTCACAAAATTGCTTTTTTTTCCATATCAGACCAGAGATACTCTTTAAAAAATAGATCATTTATTACTTGCAATAGAGTAAAGGTAAAAATTCAAAATAATTTAAAAATACAAAGGATCTTCTTAGATTACTTATAATTTCTTTTTGATTATCCTCTTGTTTCCAATTATTGCAAAAAATGGTTATTATGCAAAACGTGATAAATGGTCAACTTAAATCTGCTTCATTTTCCATTGGGTTTAAATGAAATTAGAAATAAAATGGAACAGGAAAAATAAAAAACGAAAAAAGAGTAGCTCAATGAACTATTCTGATTAATTAAGAAAGTCTGTCAAATTTTCATTCGAGTTGCTCTCTGAATAGACTGGATACTAGATTTTTTAAAGTGTTTTATAACAATAAAAAATTTCTACTTTCCTCTTATGGTAAAGGTATTTTTCAAATATAAGCGTCTGTAACATTGAAAGCATATTATGCTTTAAGAGATATCCAGTAGTCATACCTGTCAATATCCAGTAGATCCAATAGATCTGGTAGTTGCCTCAACTCGTTTACCAGTTTTCTTCAGAATGATAAGCAGAATTCCTTTACTCTGTCGAAATAAATTTCCCAATAATTTGACCAAGTTAAAACAACTCTCTCGACCATCTTACCACAATATGCATTTGCCTATTTGATTCATCGATTAAATTCAACGTTCAACGGTTAAAAAAATGATAAAATTATCTAAAGAAAACAAAGAATGGAATAACTTGACGATAAGCATCACTAAAAAAAGTTTTCAATAAAAATTTAACGCATAAACACAGTTTTTCTCACCACTATAAATCCGAAGTAACCTTAACCTATTACCCTACCTAATCATCGCCACCAAACAACCATCATTATAAAAGTGAGAAACGAGCTACCGTAATTTATTTCACTATTCATTGGCCGCTCATTACCACCAAACTCCGCCTTTAATAGGAAATTCCAATGTAATACTTCAATGCATTGTCTTAAGGGTTGTTACAAGTTTTTTTTTTTAAATCATTACTGATTAATTTTGAAAATAATTTAGACTAATTTAGTGCGAATGTACGAATTTGCAGAGCAATATATCAATAAACATTGCTTAAATTAATTTTGCTTGTCATTAATAGGAAAATAGTGTTTTATTAGGATTTCTTCATCATATTTTTCTGAAAGCGTCAATCCTTTCTAACTGGTTCTATTATTTAGACGACGGTTAAAAATTGTCCAATGAAGATACGAGTAGACTACCAGCACTATCGAAATTTTAAAGATAGACTTACACTTGCCAAAGACGAGGAAGGCCTCTCTCGAAGGATCTCTAGCTTCAAAGTGGCACCACTCGACCAATCAGTGTTTCAATTGGTTTCAGCTGTTTAATTCATAAAAATAATTATCTAATTATGATAAAAATTGCTTAGGACTGGGATAAAATAGCATTGCAAATTATTATATATAGAAAATTTATACAAATATATTTCATAAATATAAAATTCATACAAAAAATGTGCGAAATAATATTGTAAAAAATGTAAAAAATATATTTGTCATAACCTGTCATAACCTTGAGTTCATTAATTAATTACCTAGTGATTAATTAACTAAATGAAAAAAGGAAAATATTTTGAAACCTATGAAGCTTCCTAGAAATAAAACGATATTGCAGCAAATAGAAACACTTTATTTTCATTTATTTTCATGAAGAAGGATCGCAATGCGTAGCATAACCCGAAGATTAGAGAACTGAATCACTAGGAAATGTTGAAAAAAACGCTACCAGTAATGGATGAGGATCAGTATTAATTTAACAGTGATATGATTCAGTTCAGTTAAATAGACCATAAAATCTTCGAGAAAATAACCACATTGTCATCAGCAGATTAAAGTGTACAAAAAATAAGCCTCAATTCTTCAAACGAAACTTCATAGAGTAAGCGCCAATTACTAAGATGGTAATAAAAATTGGATTCAAGTTTCATTATCAATTCTTTGCCCCCTACTGAGGATGATAAATTATCGTTTCCAATCTCAATCAGAATGCCTTTTTTTAGGTCTCCTTAGCTTAATTTTAATTTTTTTAAACATGGCGATAAATCAGACTCATTAGAAAAAGTAGCATGCAGCGCATAATCAGATATGA